AATCGTGAGACACCACAAGCAATTTAGATAAGTCAAAGGAATTCACACAAGGGCAAACTTGATGGTACGATGGGCAAAATTTAGAGGCTAGAAAAAACAAGAGTCACTCGTATCCCCAAATGCTAATCAAATGTTATTGACATAATCATATGATCTATAATTAATGGATATACGGATATGCCAACCTAAAAAAGAGGGGGCGAGTAAGCCTTACATGTTTATTACAAACGATAAAAGCGCCACCGAACAAGAAGAGGAAGTATGGTTTGAGCAATCAAAACTTATACTTATAAGCAATGAAAAGTATAATTTACAAGCCGTAAATACATATCAAATAACAACCTCATAGTCTTATATAGTTATCTTACCCATAAAAAATTGATCCTGTCTTGTCCAAAGTGGCCTAGGTAAAGTCGGACCTCGAGGGTCAATCGTATCTTGTCAAAGGAAAAAAAGGTAAAAATCGATATGACTAATCATGTTCGTTAGAAATCGATATGGCTCACTAGCTTCCTTCTAACTTGGTGTGGCCGACCACATCTCTTTAAATTCCAATCAACATGGTCGAGCATATTCTTTTTTGACATAGTCAATCATGTCTTGAAAAATCAACGCGATCAATTGCACCTCTTCAAATCAACATGATCAAGCACGTTCCTTTTTGACATGGTTAGTCAAGTCTTACAAAGTCGATGCGGTCGATTGTGCCTTTTCAAGTTAACATCGTTTGTGGCACCCTCGGCTCCCTTACCGATTACCTAAAAGGTGTGGTCGGGTGCACCACGGCTTAGAGATCAAAGTCTTAAATTTAATCTCATACACATACCCAATGATCGAATATCATTATAAAAATTACAAAATATAATTTACAAGCAAAGGTAGATCCTATAATTGTCGTGTCACACATGAGCCTTTTTTGAGAGAAACCGGTAGCTTCATTATCGGCATTAGTATCACCTTTACCCGATATGGCATAAAATAAACATAGAGTGAGCCGAAGCTCGGTAAGTAGGGTGATGCACGTGATATGTAATGATTTTTTGACTTCCCCCACTTTGATTCATCAAATTTTAATTTCGGGTACCCTAGGTATTAGCAAATCTACTCTATTTTTAATCGGGTGATCCATAAATCACCTTCGCTATAATGAAATTATCCCTCATTGTAGCTACTATTAGCGAGAATCCATCGTCTAATAGTGCAAGCACACTGCTTGGAGTACGTACACATCTGGACCGTTAATACCCCTTTTTATCCAAGTAGGTTACCAAACCTATCCAAATTCAATTCGATTTGATTACCAAACCTCATCGCTTTCGACTCGGTGGTTTTACTTAATTTAATCCATTCCCATATGCATATGATGCACGTGATGTATCATGAATCATATTCCACCGAGTCATAGGCACTAAACCCATCTATTCCATACCATTGAATTACACAAGAAATTCAAAACCCGTCTAATAGAGTTAATCAATTTCACGTATCATGAACCATATTTCGTATCGGTACAAAGAAATCGTTTTGGAACTCAATTTCTAAAAGTCGAGTTTAAACCGAGTGTCCCCCTAATAAAATTCAAATTTTTGCTTTTCTTAGGATCTAACCTTTCTACACTTTATTTCATACCTACTTAAATATCTTTAAACCATTGATTCATAATTTGGTTGGACGATATTCAAAACTCGAGTTCTAGGGTTTTTGGCCGAATGGTTCAAATAGGGGAAAAGGTTTATCTTTTGTTCTTAAGTGCTTTCATTCCATCTTAATGTATTAAATTATACTTATGTGGATTACCTTAGAAGTCTAGATCTTTATGTCCATAAATATAAATCTAACTTGATCATTTTAGTACCAAGGTCCACTAAGTGTTCTTAGGATATCCAAGTCCATCTATTTTCATCCAAACTCATTTTGTTTAGTCCAAGCCTATTCATTTTAATCCAAGCCCAATTCCATTTATTGTAATTCAATTCTATTTTATTTTAATTCAAGCCCATTTTATTTTAACTCAAGTCCATTGATTGTAATACAAATCCTTTTTTATTTTAGTCCACTTTATTTTAAACCAAGTCCATGTGTTTTATTTTCAAGTCCACTTTATTTTAAATCCAAGCTTATTCATACATATCTTTCAAACCCATATAGTTATATCAAGGTGGTTTAGGTGTCTAACTAAATACTTAGGCTAACTAAACACCCTAACTAACAAAGTTTACGTACCAAAACTCATTTCTTTCCATTAAATTTCGAAAATCCCTCTCCCTAAACTCGAAACTTTTCAGCGAGTGATACATCCAAATGATCTTACCAAATCGTTCATAACTCTTTATATATATATATATATATATAAATCATGAAATTTTACAAAGAGCTAGTACATATATAGATGAAAAACTTTTGTTCTTTACATTTTATCCGAAAAATCACTCTAAGATCCCTAAATAAATCACACAAAGTTTATAATTTTTCCACCTTTAAATTCTTTTAAAAAAAATTCTTTTAAAATTTTTAACACACATTTCTCTAACCAACTCATCACACATGTATAACCATCCATCATCACAATATACATGGCATACTTACACATTCTAACATAAAATTTACTATGAAATGCACATCCAACATCCATAATAAATCCATCACCAAACATCAAATTTTTAACATCAACATAAACTACCATAACCACATATTACATGGTTTAAACAACCTCATAAAATAAATATGAAAATTTAAATTTTTAAGGTATAAATAAAGCTAAATGAAACCTACTTATAATGATGTGTGTTTGGTTAAAATTTCTTAGCCTTTTTCTTCTCTTTCTCCTTTCTTTCTTTCCTTTTTTTTTTTCTCCTTTCTTTCCCTCAAAATCACGTTTTTCTCTCATCTCTTTGAAGGGTACGATTTTGGCTAAAAAGAATGGAAAAGTTTCATCTTTTCATTCAATTTTGATACCACACTTTTTCTTTTTCTTTTTTTTATGTTTAATATGCCAAATGTCTAAATTTTGTGATGAAAAGAAGTCAATTGATAAAGATAAAAAGAGAGGCAAGTTGGAGTGTTTAACTTTCCAAAAATTAAGTGGGAAAGTACAAACGAAAGTATGGTGGAAGATTTTATGTCACATCACTAACTAAAGAGAGAAACTTAAAGATAACTAAACTAACCAATTTTCTTACCTTATTTTGTTTCTAAAATTCGGCCATGACTGCGAAGTGAGACATATTTTTCACTTGCATGGTCATTTTAAATATACATTATGAAAAAATAAATAATGGTTAATTAAATTTTTTAAAAAAAGTATTCCTATGAACAATTCCATAAACCTTAAATATTTTCACACCACAAATATAAAAGAAATGACACATAATTTATGCTCACATAATTATGGATATTTCAAGAGATATTTGGGCTCGGGAATTAAATTTCGGTATGTCGAAATTATTTTTTTTACCCAAGCATCTTAAACTCATCATACACAAACATGACACAAAAATCATAATTGTGACTTAGTAGATGTAGATAAAATTGTTTTCGTACGTATAGCTACGTTAAGCAAGTTCACGAGAGTTACACCGTTAGTCACATTCCCTTTCGACATGGTCATTCATGCCTTGCAAAGTTGGTGCGGTCAATTGAGCCCCTTCAAATCAACGTGATTAGACATGTTCTCTTTTGACATGTTTAGTCATGTCTTGTAAATCGACGCGATCAGTTGTGCCCTTTCAAGTAAACATAGTCGATCACGTTCCTTTTTGACATGATCGGTCATGTCTTGCAAAGTTGGTATGATCGGTTGCGTCCTTTCAAGTCAATGTGGTCGATCACGTTTCCTTTTGATATGATCGGTCATGTCTTCTAAAGTTGACGTGGTCGGTCGCACCCTTTTAAATCAATATGATCGGTTACATTTCCTTTTGACATAGTCGATTATGTCTTCTAAAATCGGCGTGGTCGGTCGCGTCCTTTCAAATCAATATGGTCGGTCATGTTCCCTTTTAATTTGACATCGTCAATCATGTCTTCTAAAGTTGACATGGTTAGTCATGTCTTCTAAAGTCGATTTGGTCCGTCGTATCCCTTCAAATCAACATGGCCAGTCATTTTCCTTTTTAATTTAACATAGTCGGTCATATCTTCTAAAGTCGAGATCGTTAGTTGCGTCCCTTCAAATTAATATGGTCAATCACATTTCTTTTTAATTAGACATGGACGTATGTGTCCCTATAGAATCGATGTGGCCGGTTGCATCCTTTCGAATAAATTTGATCAGTCACACCTTTTTTAAATTGATATGATTAGTCATATCCTTTTTAAAATCGACAAGGTTAGTCACGTCTTTCTCAAATTTCTTCAATTTCTTTACAAATTTATTATGTAAAGCCAAAGAAAGATGTTTTCCAATGACTTTACATTGTAAGTATTGTAAAAGGAGGCAATCTGTTATCACCTAAATTTTTACCCTTATTATTTTTACTTTAATTTTATTTTTTGTTGCAAAATACCAAAAACATGAAAAGAAAAGAAAAAAGAGAAATGGAAAAGAAAAAAATCAATTGGAATAATTAATTTAGATTAATTAAAAAAAAGAGGGAGGGGTTAATTGAAGAAATGGAAAGTTTAGAAGTAACAAAAAGGAACAATTGAGGGTCAAATCAAAAAAATAAAACTTATATCCTTTAATTAAAATAAAAGGGGTACAACCGAGAGAAACCAAAAAGAAAAGTCCTAATTAATTCAAATTTAGGGGCTCTATTGAAATAAAAATTAAAAAAAAACTAAACTAAACTCAAATTAGAGGATTGTGGAGAGCCAAAGACCAAATTAAATTTTTGTTAAGAAAACCCCACATATAAAAGCCACTACCATACATTTTCATTGATATAAAATCACTATTCATTATCATCTAAAAACAAACACACCTAACCGACACCAACACTTTAACTTCCTCGCCTAAAACTCACCCATACTGACCCATCGTTTTCTTCTCCTCTTAAACTCTATATAACGACCTTATCCCCTCCATGCCTGACTTGTTCTCGCCCACGACCATCTATACATGCCCTACATCCCTCACACCTATAAGCCTTTGCCTATAAATCACTCAAACGACCTTTCTATGCCCACAAACACCTGCATCCAAGACTCGTTTTCGACCTACCGCATCATGCCTTCCACTACTTGCCTCCAGCTCATAGCCCAAGCTTTAGTCACACGTGCCACACTCGTCCTACCTCTAGCTCACGTGCACACCTAACCCCAAACAACCTCTACTCTTCAGCCTAAAGCTCGCACCCAACCTCGAGTAGTAGACCCTCACGTCGGACCACGCCAAATGAATAACCTCACTCTCTAACCTAATGCTCATACCTAACCCCGAGCGGTAGCCCTCTATACGGACCACGGCTAGTGAACAACCCAGGTCTCCCAAATTCGCTTGCGTGCCCGACCAATAACCCACAAGCATGCTAAGTGGCCGGCTAGCTTTCGTTTAGTAAGCAACAACATACCCACCTCCAGCGAGTTGTAACCTTCGATTGACCAATCAATCCCCTTAAAAAAAAAAAAAAAACAAAAGGGCAAAAGAGTGAAGAATTTTTTTTTATCGATTTGTTACTTGTTGGTTGGTTTGTGTTTGTTATGGTAGGAAATATAGCAATAAAAGTCACCTTAAGTTTTTAAAAAAATTTATAAAGTTTTTAAGAACTCTACAAAGTTTACGGTAACTTTTGGAGTATTTGCACGAGCAACAAAAGAGTTTTTGGTCATTTCGAGTGGGACTCATAACACATTTTACCAATAAATAATCGCTCTCCTTTCTCGGCTAACTAAATAATCGGTTTTCATTAGGATCGAAAAGGAAAATTGAACTTATTTCGTACATCGAAATTACAAAGCTTTTGGGTAAAATTCCAAAACCCTTGCTTTCTTTTCTAAAAAATAAGGGTTCAAAATAATTGATTTATTTAATTTTGTGAATGAAACTGTTACATTTTGTTTAAATATCTATAATTTAAATGTGGTTGAAACAAACATTGTTGTGATAGATACTAAAAGACAAACCATATTATTTTATTGTTTTACCCCTGTATGTCTAAATGCGAAGTTTGTCTTATTGTTATGGTTGATTGATTAACTACATCCGATCCGAGTGGGTAAAATTATTGCATGACACTTAAACATTCACCGATAAAATGTGATTGAAATAAATATTCCCGTAATTAGACATCTTGGACAAACTATGTTGTTTTACTATTTCCCAACTTCATGTCTAAATAAGAAGTTTATGCTTGTTCTTATGGTTGATTAATCAATTATGCCTAATTACAATATTGAAATGAAGATGTCGCTAGCTTCGATTTATGCGACGAAGTCGTTAGAAAGTTTTAGAATCATTTTATCTCGTTTGTTATTCCTAATTCTTTATTTTTAATTTTTATTCCTGATTCCTATTTCATATTTCCTGTTTCTTGTTTTATTAAAATGAAGCTAACAAGTGGTTTCAAAATAATTTTTATTTAATGTCCGTTTGTTTGAAATAAAGTAGACGGTGGCTTCTCACTTATGTGACGAAGCTACCGGTGGCTTCCAAATAATTATCTCGCTCCTTGCTTGAGCTAAATAAAGTGGCTAGTAGCTTTCAACTTATGTGATGAGTTTATCATTAGCTTTAAACTCATGACTCAAAGTTATCGATAGCTTCTCACTTGTGTGATCGAAGTCGTCCGTGGCTTATTGCTCATGCTAATAAAATGTTATTCATCTTTAGAAATTCACTTATTTATTAATAATAGGTTGTATTCATTAATGATTAGTTAAAATTCTAAATTCTCTCACCTTTCCCCTATTGGGTAGGGAGTATTGGCCTTAGACCAGCCTAAACTCCTAAACCATCCTGTTTTATATTCGAACCATCCTGCTTCATATTTTATAAAATAAACTCGTTTAAATAAGCATAGAAGAATAACATAATAAAAACTAAATTTTTATATACTCATAGGCAAACAATGCGACCTACCTTAGGTAGGATAAGATAGTGGTGATGTCATATCTTTCTTATACGTAACCGACCTCTTACCTAGATATCTATGTAGACCAATAAATTTAAGGTTGTATAGTTCTCTCGATTAGCTAGGTGGCGACTCTTGTTCCGCCCCCTTGCGGTGGTCGACGTCGACACCTCTACTATAATTCCGGTTAGAAATAAAGGTGCTGGCTTAAAATAATTATTGAAACTAGAATCATTGAAGGAAAATTTTATTTGCTATTATGTGTGTGATTTACATATAAAAACATAATTATACGTATAACACAATCATCGTATATCTTATATATATTTGAATATTATATCTATAAATCTTTATAAAAAAACTTCTATTTAAAACTCATCAAAATATTTTTATTTCTATAAAAGTCCAAAATTAATTTCTTTTTTAATACAAAAAAACCTAAATGGGTAAATTAAAGATGTTAAGTGAAAGTAAGGAAATTAGATTTTTTGGTATGAAAAATATGTTTTGTGGTATAAATAAAAAAATATTTTAATATGTTTTTTAGGTTAAAAAATAAATTTTTTTTAGAAAAGGGCGTTGGGGAATTATCCGGAAAAAATATCTTTTTATTGTTACTTTTAGGTCAATGGTTTTACAATGAAACTCCCGAATCCTAAATCCAATATGAACATCCAATTCATCATAACTAACTAATAAAAAGAGAGATAACCCTAACTTCAAAAATTTAAGAGCAAAAAGCCTAAACTTCTAGAAGAAGACAAAGAAGAAGATCAATGCTTGGCCATGGTGGCTCGCCCACCATTCATTGTCCAAGGCTGTTGCGTCAAGTTGATAAACGTAAACATCGATGACACAAAGTGATATTGGTCAACCGAAGCGAGGTTGATGGGGATGTACGATCAATGGAAGTCATAACTAATCGGAAGGTAGAGGTAAATGGAAGTAATCTAAGTAACCCCATAAACTAGACTTTGATTATGCAAGAAGCAAAACAATTGAACAAAGCTATAGGTTATCTTATGCTAAGGCTACTACTGCTACGAAAGATCAACAAACTATAACAATTGCTCGTAAATCATATCCCTTAAAAGATATTCATCTTGTTCCAAGGAAATTAACTTTCATTAATTCGGAGTCGGCATGTCTATTGGAGACGACTATTGAAGAATTTAAGAATACCATAATTCCGAAATTCTCGGTGGGGAGGGTAGCAGTTTGTGATATTCTTCCGTACATCCGAGTGTTTATAGAAGCTCAATGGTGAACCTTTGATTGGACTTTTGGACCCGATACATGTCATGATAAAGTTAGATTCGGAGGAAAATTTACACCATGCATTATCTAGAGAGGCACACAAGATCATGAACTATATGTTAGGGTATTTTGATGGGATGCTAATTTCTAATTTCATAAAGACAGTTCTCTAATCTCGACTTATGTGAGATTGCCTTAGCTTACTTTACTCGTATTTTAATCCATCATACCTAAAACGAATAGGAGAAGGCATTAGAGGTATTCTTAAGGTCGATGAAAGGACTATAGCTTTAACAAATCCTATGTACACTAGAATTTGATTAGAAGTAGATGTTTTAATGCCTTTGGCTAACGGAACTTGGGTGGGTAGCTCTAAGGAGTAAGGCTTTTAGCAATGGATAGAGTGTGAGGGTAACTTAATTTATTGTAATGCATGTGACCTTATTGGCCATACTAAATAGGCATGTCATAAGAAAAATAGAGTACTGTTGTAGTTAGAAGAGGGATGATGAAAATAGGTAGGTAGTTTGTCATGGGAAATAATGCACATGAGGTTGAGAAGGAGAAAGATTAGTGGCTATAGGTGTAAAGGATAAAATATTATGTTGTATAAACCATGGAGAGCACACTCAAGAGGCCTAGTAATAATCCAATCAAGGTTATAGAAAGAGGGAATCTAGCATAAAAAAAGATAATGAAGGTATGTTGATGACGAGTTAAATACGAGTGTGATGTCTATAGATGATGATAAGAGAGGTAAGGCTATGGAATCTATAGATAAAGTGAAGATTGGACTTTCGAATAACTTTAGCATAGTATCTATTAATATGTTTGCACTACTTGAGGTGGTAAAAGAAACAAGCCATTTAGGATCCGAATGTAGAGAAAACATAATTACAAAATCTAGAGTTGGGAGTGATAATCTAAGTGATTTTGGAACTAGAAAGATTATATATATTTTAGAAAAAAAAAGAACAATAGTGAAGATACTAGAAAACATGCCAAGGTTGTGAAAACATGGAAGAAAAAGTTTGATAATGGGGATAGAAAGGACAGGGTGGATAATCATGAAGTTAGGGGATATACCTCAAGTAAGTCATGTAGCCGGACAGTAGGTAAGGAAAGTAACAAAGAGGGTGAGGAAACGAATTTAATAAAAATAGGATTATATGCCACATAATCATATCGGGTTAGTTAATGGTGCTATGAGAGTTTTGACATGCACGGAAGTAGGCGACAAGTGAAAGAGGCAACGAGTTAAAGTAGGTTTACATGGTACAAATGTTAGTATGGTTAATGGGTTACTTGGATGCAAAAAAGAAAGATTAGACTATGCAAGTTGTCGCTCATCAAGCGAGTGGATAATAAAGAGGGATTGGGACTAGTTGGGGTCTCTTTACACAATAAAATTTGTAGGACGGAATATGAAATGGTATAGAATGCTTCCAACTAAGATGGGAATAAGGTGGGCAACATTAGCTCGTATATAACTAGTGGTCTAGATGCTCATAAATCAGCATTATAGAAAGGATCTTTATTTGAAGAAGAGAAAGAATGGGAGACACATAACATTCGACGTCTATCTCGTGAGGAGTTTTTATGTCCATAGGGTAGAGTCGAAGGGTGTAAAGAAAACCTTTAAGAAGTTTCAAAAATTAGCCGTAAATAGGAAACTTCAACTCCCGGATTGCGATAGAAAGAAAAGGCCATTTTTTAAAGCATTAGGTACTACATCCGCATCAAATTAAGATATCAAGTATTTTCCGGAATGTTAGAGGTAGCAGAAACACCGATACGATTAATTATGTTAAACTATTGAAGAAACAACATAGGTTGAAATTTTTTGCTATTATTGATCCTAAGTTAGGAGGGGCGAGAATAGATAATATAGCCAAGTCAATTAGATATAAGAGTTTCAAGCATTTCAATCCAACTAATTCTCATATATGGTCTGTTTTGGGACGAGGATATATAGGTAACTTATGAGGTGATACACAAACAAGTAGTATAGTAAATATTTTGGGTAAGTCTGAGGGTTTCGGTAGTATATGGTAGTTGCAATAAGAAGGAACGATAAGAGTTATGAAATGAATTTGACAAGTTAGCATCAATTTCCCGGGAACTATAGATTATAGATGGTGATTTTAATGTCGTATTGAATACTAATGAGAAGATAGATGGCAATATGGCGAGATAGTTAGGGTATGATAGATTTTAATACTTGTTGTGATAGCATTGTTATAGTTAATTTGGGCTATCTAGGTAGTAGATGTACTTGGTGCAATAATCAATCGAGTTTGGATAGAATTCAAGAGAGTCCGGACGGGGTTATGACTAATAGTGCATGTGTTGCTAATAGGCCAAATCTTGTTATTAAACATTTGATAAGAATAGTGTTAGATCATAGCCCATTGATGGTTTGACTTCCTCAAGCAAAGTGGTAAAGAGGGTTTATTTCGGTTTCGACAAATGTGGATGGAGCATCAAAATTTTCGAAATATGTGTGGGAGACATGGAACACTCGTAGTAAAGGGTTCCCCTATGAAAATTCTTCATTAGAAGCTGAAACATCTAAGGAGTAGATTACGAGTGTGAAATTGGAAGGTTTTTTGTAATATCCATCGGAAAATGAAACTCGTTACGGGATGAAATTTGTTGGATAGACATGGATCGAGTGTAGGAATGGAATGGACAATTAGGCGATATGCTTCAAGATAGAAAAATTGAGTTAGCACGTCTAATTCAATAGGATAAGGATATATTAAGACAAAAAGCTAGAATTAAATGGGTTACGGAGGGGGATAAAAACACAAAGTTCTTTCATACGTGCATTAAAGATAACATGAGGAAAATGAACTTCAAGTTACGTAAACAAGATGGGACTTTTGTTGAAAATGTGTCGGAGATAGGAGTAGAAGTTTTTAAATCCCTTTTTTAGGCTATCCCAATGTTAAATCATAAATCTCTGTTTACAAGGATGTGTAGGAGCATTACGGAGGACATTAACGTGCAAGTCGACAAGGGTTCCGATAGAATTTGAAATGATGAAAGCTATTAATGGCTCGAATGAATCTAGTGCACCTAGTTGAGATGGATTTATAGGGCATTTCTATAAAGGGTGTTGGAATGTGATTCTAGTTGATGTCATTGTAGCAATACAAAATTTTTTCATAGGGGGCCAACTTTCGAAAGGTATGTTTTCTTACATTTTGATTCTACTCCCAAAGGTGGAAAATCCATCCTCTTTGAGTGATTTGAGACCGATTAGTCTCTCTAATTTTAGTTGTAAAATCATTTCAAAAATTTTAGCAAATTGAATAAATGTGGTATTACCAAAGTTAATAGATCCAAAACAAGTTCGGTTTTGTTAAAGGTCGGAGCATCACAAAAAATATGGCACTATCCCAAGAGATGATAGCAAGGTTAAATCGAAAGGTTGATGGGGATAATCTTATTTTTTAGATATATATTTCTAAAGCTTATGATAGGGTAAATTGGTCTTTCCTATTAAAGGTAATGCGTCCGATGGGGTTTAATGAAAATTGGTGTGACTTAATGTATAAAAGTCTTAGCAATGTTTGGTATACAATTCGGATTCGGGGTAGGAACTTTGGGTTTTTTAAATCTTTTAGGGGTGTTCGGCAAAGAGATCCATTATCACCTCTATTATTTATCTTGGTTCAACAAGTTCTCTCAACCAATCTAAAAAAATGTTTGAGGAAGGGATTTATTTGGCCATTTAGGTTTCCTAGAGAGCATTGTTGGTTTTCCACTTATTTTATGTAGATGATATGCTATTGTTTACGAATAGGTCTAAGCGGTCTTTGACACGGTTGAGGAGTTTAATGGCCGGGTATGAGGAGAGCTCGGAGCAATTAATTTATGTGTCTAAGAGAGGTTTTTATACTCCTAAGAACATGTTAGCACAAAAAATAACAATCATAAAACAACATACGGGATACGACCATTTTTAATTTTTGTTAAATTATTTGGGAGTTCCTCTTTTCACGAGAAGAATGCATCAAATTTATTTTCTTCCTTTGAAAATGAAGATTAAACAACGGATATATGGATGGAAGGTATGCTTGTTATCTTTTGGTGTCCGATTAACTTTACTTCAAGCAATAATTAGTAGTATATCAAGACATTTGTTAACGACTATTCCGGTGCCTAAGGGTACAATTCGGAGAATTGAGAAGCAAACGGCTAACTTTTTATAGAGTTCATCTAGGGAAAATTGGCACCATTGAATATCTTGACGGCATGTATGTACACCCATTGAGGAGAGTGGTTCGAGGATTCGCGAGTTTAGGGCCGTAATGATCGCATTATAAACAAAATTAGCTTGGTCCTTTATTCAAGGATCAAGCTTTTGAGCTCTATGTTTGCGAGTAAGATATGGGGACAAGGGGAACCTACCGAGGACATCTTCCCATATTTGAAAAACCATTATCCCGCATCCGCCTTCCTTAAGCTTGGTCGGTCGATGGATCATAGGAAAATGTGCAATGCCTTTCTAGGGTGTTAATTGGTGTGGGGTTGTATCGGAGTCTTCGTTATCGATGTACATAAAGTTAGCGGTTAGAGAAGCTTTTCAAGAGCTGGATGATTTTTTTCATTTTTTCTTAAGTCAATACCATGAAGAGGTCCAACATTTGAGGTTTGATGATACGATTAAGGATAAATTAGTTTTTACTTTAACTAAATTAGGGGAATTTAAGACTAAAGATTATTGGAATTATAGCCGCAGATCACTCACCAAAGTGGTCATGGGCTAATAGAATTTAGAACCTATACATACCAACAAGGGTGATAGTATTTATGTGGAAATGGTTTAGGGGTACCTTAGTGGTTGACTCTCGCATTCGGGATCTCGGTATTCCTTTAGTATTAATTTGTCGGTCTTACATGAATCATAAGGTAGAAACTATTACAAACTTGTTTATTGATTCTCGAGTTGCTAGACAAGTTTAAAGACACTTTGGAATAATCTTTGAATGCAACACGGATTGGAACTATTAGTTGAATGTGTATGGGCATTGAGGTCCTCTTTTAGTACTCAATCAAGTATGTGCCAAGTTTGTGTCTTTTGTTTTGTGTTATGAGAATCATGGAAAAGTCGATGTAAATCAAAGCATGAGGATAAACTAATGAGCATAGGTGATATAGTGAGGAGAGTTATAGTAGACCTTCGAGATATCTGCAGTTTATTTGTTCCAAAAAAGACTATGAATGTAGTTGGGTTGAGGAAGATGCAAAACTTAGGCACTCGTTCCAATGCGATCGAAAGTTTTAGAGGGAAATGGACAAGTGGGAGCCTCCTCTAGCTGGTAAATTAAAAATTAAATGTTGATGGGTCGACTAGAGATGGTTTGTGTATAGGTGGAGGAGTAATCCGTGATTCTTCGAGCTCCTTTGTAGCGAGGTTTCGCACACTATTATGGAGATGTTACCAATTCTAAGGTCGAGGTGCTAGCACTTCGAAATGGTTTAGCTCTATGTAACGAATTGAAATTAGATTCGGTGCTTATGGAATCCGATTCAATGGTGGCTATTTGTACCCTCTTAGACACGAATAAAGTGCCTTAGGCCGACATGTATGCCTTCCGTGAATGTCGAGAACTAAAAAATTCCCAAACATTTAAACATATTTAGAGAGAACAAAACATGGTAGCGAGATAGATTGGTTAATGAGGTGGTTCAACATGAGTTGGGGATAAATTATAGTAGTTTTGGTTAGTTAACTTTAACATTAATGATTGTTAGTAGACATGATAGAATTGATTTGTTTAATTATAGGGTATCATTCCGTCATTAGGGGTAAGATTTCCTCGTCCCCAGCATTATTAGGTAAGGTTGGATTGTCCATCCCTCGTACTATTTTCTTAACCATATCAATAAAATTACCAAGGTACCATCCTTGTTCATATAAAAAAAAAAAATCCAATAACAATAATAACAATGAGAGGAAATTTTCTCATTTTTATTGGTATTTTAAAGTTACTCTATTTTAGAATATCTTAATAAGCCACACAAAAAAGAGCGGATTGAAATTTTTCTTAGTAAAAATTTGTTTTATATTTTTATTTTTTTAATTACATATATATATATTTTTTATATAGACTAAATATTAATAATTACTCTCTACTGTAAATTTTGTCGAAAGGAGGTATTTATGGGCTTGGGCCGGTAATAATACTTGACAAGGCTGTGACTCGTGTGGTTTGAACCGACACCGTTTACCAAAAGTCACTGTCGCTACGCTTACAAAGCCTCTCATGCACAAAAACAGAGGAAGAAAGAAAGAAACAAAAAGGTTAAAATCAGTGACGAGTGAGTCTTATAATTTTGTGTAATTCATTCATTCGCGGTCAGTACAACCCAATCTGTCGGTGACTCTTTGCAGGAAGGAAGGGTTTTTGCAGGGTTTCTCCTCTTTATTTTCCTTTCCTTTTCAACAAAAGAAAATGTGTTCTTTAAGAAATGGAACAGAGTGTGAAAGAAACAGAGAAGAAGATGAAGAAGAGCCAATATTGAAGGAACAAAACCAGAGGTTTTGCATGTTTCCAATAAGATATAAAGAACTTTGGGAGATGTATAAGAAGGCTGAGGCCAGTTTTTGGACAGGTATTTATCCACTTTTTTCTCTATCAATTTGTTAACTGTCTTTCGCTCTGTCGTGGTCGTTTCTTTTTAGTGGGATTTGCATGGCTAGATAATTTAATGGAAAGAGGATTTTTTTTTTTTTTTTTTGAAAGTGAGTTTTCTTTGTTTTATTGTAAAAATGCTTCCTTTCCCCAAATTAGTCAAATAAATTGTGATGGGAGGAAACGGTAAGTAGTGAAGTATATGAAATTTGGAACCTTTTTCGGTATCAATTTCTAGTAACAACATTGTTTTCTGTAAATACTATCTCTTTCCACAATTGGGCTTTCGAGGATTACTGAGATGGGAAATTTGAACTTATTACTTCTGTATAAGAAGCCACTCTTTATTTTGTGTGTAGAGTTTTGGAGAAGTGTACATATAGATATATATATTTCTTTTCTTCCCTATCAGAAATTAGGTAGTTCTAATATTTGGAAGTATAGTTCACAGTCAGACTATGGCGTTATATAATTAATATAAATTCAATTCATCAACTTCTGCCCTGCCAATTTGGTGTTCATGATATGTGACTGTCTCAGGCCTGATAGGAATGTGGGTTTACTGAATTGATTATTGAAATAGTGTCCTTTTGCTTTAAACAATGATTTGGCATGTTAGTAGTTAGGTATCTCATTGTACATCCAACTTGATGATGAAGTTATACATGATCAAAGATGAGTGCTCAAAAGTTAGAGGTTTTTACCCCACTGGAACTAAAAGGTGTATATGCATTTCAAATTCAGCAAAAACTAAGAATTGAGAAGGACAGTCTTGGTTTGTATGGAACAGAGTGCCTGTTTCTGTACTTAAGCTGCATCTTACCAGTGGAAGGAGACACTGAAGATGATGCGAGTACTATGCGATTGAGAAGTCTCATTATGCTAAAGAGAAAAATCTATAAATTCAATTATATTAGCTATGATTTTATGGTAATGAGTGCTAGGCAGTAATTTGTAGAAAGGTGGATGTGGTGTAGCTAATTTTTTCCATTTCAATTCACAGTAAGCTTCTTCTCGAAAGTTAAATCTTTTTGAATTCATGGCTAGCCTCTGTCCATCCAGCAATGATGGAGGGAGTTGTATTGGGTACAATAGGAGAAGTTTTTTTTATGTGCTGAAGAAGATTAATGTGGTCTTTTACAACGATGCTGATGGGGCTTTCATGAACATGGATTATATCACAGCAATAAGGTTGATCATTATGGCCAGAACAATAGGAATACTACTGATATTGGTAAGAAGAAGAGCAATGCCAAGTTATGAGTAATGTCAGTGTGTTGGTGGAAATGATAGACTGCTATTACTGCACTGATATTTTGAGTTTATGAGGATGGTGGTATGACATAGTGCCGTCTTTTTTTTTTTTTTTTGGTGTTACTAAACACCTTTGGTTTTCGCGTTTTTGTCTGTGAGATGCTGGTGAATGTTCTCTTGATATCTCACATAGTTGAACTTTCAGTTTCACTAAGTGCTGTTTCTTGAAATCTAGATTTCTATCTCAATTTAATAGTTGGACTTTGAATTATGGTTTTCTTCTTTATTCTCTTGCCTATTTTTACTTGAAAACTGTCCTTTTTTTTAAAATTAACTTGTTAGTGCTCTTACAGCTGAGGAGGTTGATCTCTCCCAGGACATGCAGCATTGGGAAGCATTGTCTGATTCAGAGAAACACTTCATAAGCCATGTGCTGGCATTTTTTGCTGCATCTGATGGGATTGTTTTAGAAAACTTGGCTGCAAGATTTCTAAATGATGTTCAAATTCCAGAGGTGAACTTCTTGGCTAAGCTCCTAAGAACCTTTTGTTATCTTTTTGAAGTTCAATTATGCTTGTAGTCATGCTGTACCTGTATTTTTATCTCATTTTAGTTATCCTGTTTGCTTCAAGTTGTTCATCATGTGTTGAATTCAAGCACCCAATACTGCTTCTGACAATTTGTGACCACTTCATGTTTATTTTAAGCTGATTCTGTGGTACAGGTATGGTTAAGGATGCATATTTTGAGCAATCAGCTTCTGGTTTTTCCAAGCTGGCTCTCTAATAATATGACATTTTCATTGTCTCAGGCCCGGGCATTCTATGGATTTCAAATCGCTATGGAGAACGTTCATTCTGGTAGAGCTTTGTGAGTGAATTTGGTTGACTTTTTCTCTTATGGTGCATTGCAATCATCCTGATTCGGAAATTTTCCACTTCTCTCTTTCAGAGATGTATAGTTTGCTTTTGGAGACATACATCAAGGACTCAAGGGAGAAGCATAGGTTGTTCAATGCTATTGAAAACATTCCCTGTGTGGCTAAAAAGGCCAAGTGGGCATTGGATTGGATCCAGAGGTATACGGCATTTTTCTCTGACACTTTGGAAATTATCAACATATAAAAACTTTGCTAATTAAAAGTAGTGTCTGAGTCTGTGTTCCTGTTGGAACACATGCTTCCAAAAATTTCTCATTCTTCTTCATTTTCAGTTCCACTCTTTTTGCAGAGAGACTTGTTGCTTTTGCTTGTATTGAAGGAATCTTTTTCTCGGGAAGGTAATGTTTTTAAAATTTTACAACAACAAGACTGTTATATGTTATTTGTGATATTTTATCATTCTTTCATTTTCTCGCTGATGGCATTCATGTTGCGTATTAAGATTATTTATGATGTTTGTATATTGTCGGTCTCAGCTTCTGCTCCATTTTCTGGCTTAAAAAGAGAGGCTTGATGCCAGGTTTGACATTCTCAAATGAATTAATATCTAGAGACGAGGGACTGCATTGTGACTTTGCTTGCCTTCTTTATAGGTGAGATTTTTCTCCCTTGTTCTTTTGTATAAATTTTTTAGTACTTGACTTTAATACTTGAGCCATAGCTAGATGTACAGATCTTCTGGTGTTCCTAATACAAGGGGAAAATCATTTACTGGAAACATGTATGTTTTTGTTGTTTACAGTTTGTTGCAGAAGCAACTTCATTGGCAAAAAGTTCATCATATTGTTGGTGAAGCAGTGGAAATTGAGACCAAATTTGTCTGTGAGGCCCTTCCATGTGCATTGATTGGCATGAATGCAGCACTCATGAGCGAGTACATAAAGTTTGTTGCTGACCGTCTTTTGGTATTTCTCCATTGATATCCCGCACATCTTTTTTGTCATTAATCATTAGAAAAGAAAATTTTACATGTTTGTATTCTTTATTTTCAGGTTGCCTTAGGTTATCAGAAGAAGTACAACGTTGAAAATCCCTTTGATTGGATGGAATTCATATCCTTGCAGTGAGTATAATAACCTTGTGAATGGATTGCTAAATGGTCGAACTTCTAAAACCTGACATCCTACTCCTGATTCATTTATCTGAACCTTTTGTTGTTTAGCTCTTTTTAGAAGCATGAGTGTGTAGTTTATTTCCCCACATTTATTGTGGAAGTGAGAAAAATCGTAGTCTGACCTCGTGAAAGAATGGGACAAGGTAGTAACAGTCGAAACTGATGTTAAAAAACAACTTGAGCAGATAATGTTTCTACAGATTGTTTCCATCATACTAAATGTTGCCTGAGTTGTGGAAAAGTGGGATTAGGTGGTGGCATGTTAAAGGAAGAAAAAAGTCAATGTTTTTGCTTTGCACATTTTGACTTTTGATATTGGGTATCAAGTATATGATGTCTACTAGTTGGAACCCAATTTTCATCGTCTTACCTACTTGTTCCATTGTGCAGAGGGAAAGCAAATTTTTTTGAGAGGAGGGTAGGAGACTATCAGAAGGCATCTGTTATGTCAAGCCTGCAAGATGGTGGGAAAAACTACATTTTCAAGATGGACGAGGACTTCTAGTCTAATAAGTCATGACCCCCTCAAGTATCATAGATATGCTGAAAGTGGGCGTCCAAAATTTTTGTTACTATTCTTGATGGTGACATTTCTGTTTGTAGTCTACTTGATATCAATTCCAAGGCATCAAGTAGACGGTGCAAGCTGGTAATTGTTTATTTAATTCTGGGTCGTTTTTAAACTTGTCATATGTTTTTATCATTTCTGGTTGGTATATCTGTTGTTTCTTTTAGTGGTTGTCGTAATCGAAAAGGTGTTATGTGCTAATATTCCACCATTTTATGCTCTCAAGGTGGAATGCCCATATCGTTATTTTTGTTTTGTCTGTTGTTTATAGTTAATCTAAACAAAACGTTATTATTACTTTTAGCTTAGAGGTTTTGATTGTCTATCTGGCGTGTTATGAAGCCTTCCTGTTGCTTTGACACTGCCTGTGGAACTGTGCGAGTTGGTTAGTGAAATTCTCACCTAAAAGTAGTAATTAGTAAATCATCTTGTTTTGTCGTCTTTACAAATTTATAACAGGACAGGTGATGCAAAAAACAACCCTTCTCTTTTTGAGTGGATTGAAGCATGGTTAATGAAATATAATTAAACCAAAGATCATAACAAAGAACTGAACCCTTGTGCTGAGAGGACCAGAGGGAGTGGCTAGAAACCTTATCTGGGAAGAAAAACCAGAAAATTTTCAGCAAGAGCCACCGTCACGGTAGCCTTGAATGTCTCTCTGCTGTGTGAGTTTGGTGCAAGGTGGTGCCATGTTGTGAGGCATATAGCTTCACCCTTTTTAGCTTGGCTTGAAAAAATCCAATCAGGTAACCTATCACCATAGCTGCACCAAATCGGGGAAAGTCTGATGCATATTAGTTATTTACAAATTGTTAGGAGGTGTCATTATAGCTCACAGTATCTTCAATCATGTTTGCTTTGCTTGGCATGGACGTCAACAGATAGGTTGAGTTGGCAAAGGGCATCCTATTTCTGAGTTTTTGACAAACTGAAGGTCGAAGCATGTTAGTAATTGGTCCCATCTCGGTGTCAACCCTAAACAACTCTATTGTAAGTTGCAGAGATTCTGATCCATATTAACAACTTTATCCATCTCTGCTCTTAACTTTATTGTTAAACCACTTCACCACCTTCTAATCAGATCATACCAAACCAACCTTCCTCTGCTGTCATACGTATGACTCTTCCATTTCACCTACCTCGCTTTTATTTTATTTTTTGAGAAATAACAAACCTTATTGATCATGCTTCAATCTTCATGCATGGGTGGGGTGGCAGCATGAAAATAAATTAAAGTCACCATAAGAGGATGGATGACTTCGAATTTGTAGTCCCTACAACAATTATATGTCCATTGACAATTTGCTTGAATCCTATTCACTAATAAACAATTTTCTCTGTTTTTTTTAATATATATATATATATATATATATATATTTGGTGGGGTTGTGGAACCATTTAAGAAAAATGGTCCCATTTTTCAGCTCGACCATAAGAAGGCCTACAACTGATAATAAACTCACATGCTGCTGTTCCGAAAAAATAAAAAATAAAAAATAAAATTCCACTAGTGCTCACCTACCCCTGAGATGCACAGCAGCCTGGGCCTGAGCCTAAGCAGACAATATTAAAGAATAAAAGGGCGCCGTCCCCACTGGCAAGTGCCAAACTTTCGGTAATGAATGAAAGTGGATTTTATTTATTTATTTGACAATTAGAATATTTTTAAACCGATGTCTATGTCAATCAAAATTATTTTTTAAAATGATATTGGAAATACATTTTTTAAAAAAATATTAATTTAGTATTTCAGAAGAATTTAATAAATTTTTCTATTTGCTTTGAACTTTGGTAACAAAAAAAAAAAAAAGAACAAACCTTTAATCATCTTATCCGTTCCTTGAGGTTAATGAAAGTGGATACAAAAATGGGGGGGCATGTGTCCAAACCTAAAGCAAATGTGGCACCAAGTACTTTCATAACATGTTGTTGGACCAACTCTTTGGTGATGTGATGGGATCAGATCACTCCCTGTCATCATCTCCACCTACCCCTAACCACTGATTATTATTATTATTATTTTGTCAAAATACCTTTGCCATCAATTTCTTCTTCTGTTTTTTCTTTTTTTTTTTTAAGTTTCTTTTTAAACGAGATTTGCAACGGATGGGGAACTTGGAGGAGGTGTTGTGTCATTTTTCCTTGGCTTTTCTCAACGAGAGGAAGGAAATATGGGCCTTCTATCAACTATATTAATTGGAACTTGAAGTTTATTGTGGTTTCTATTAAGGGTATTCACTATTCGGTTAAAACCGAAATACCAAATCGTGCCGAATCGAATTAACAATTTCGGTTCGATTTTTTTAAAAAAACCAAACCGAAAAATCAAAATTATTTTGGTTCGATTCGCTTATTTTTTAAACACATTCGATTTCCATCGAAAATCGAATTTTAAGCAAAGTTACAAAAGTAACAAAACGTCAAAACCCTAAGTCCTACAATCCTTCTCTTTCACGGATCCACTTGACACCGGCTTTTAGCTCTTCTCTTTAATAGATCTCTTGCAATCCCGCTTCCAACCTTCCATAAAACTTAAAACTCTCCTTTTCCTCGGTTCTCACTTAGTTACTTCTCCTCTTCTCCAATCTTCACACACTCACTTCGAGCTTCGGTAATGCCAATCGCCGGAGACTCATCCATCCTCCTCCTCTAGAGTGACAAAGTCCAATCTTCCTCGGCTCCTCGGACCTCAATTCGGTTCCTACGGCCTTCCTCCTCCTCCTTCTCCTCCATCCACGAGTTCGGCATTTCCCATTACCCAATCCAGTCAAAACTCAAAAGGTCGGCTTTTTTATGGTTAAATGCTCGGACCTTTGGCATCTTGCACAAACATTTTATTAGTGATTTAAAGCAATCACATGTTATCTATCACGGGGTAGATGATGCTAAACTTCGATAGTCGTTGGAGATTTGTTTTTGTCCCTTTGTTTTGCCCATGATATTTCTTCTATTATTACTAGGAAATGGAAGTGAATGTTACTTTGGATGTTAAAATCGTAGTTTGTGCCAAAGATAATGATTTATTTGGTTCCGTTACATGCTATTATCCTACTCGGTAGTTTGTGCTAATGCAAAAAGATAACGATTCATTTGGTTCCGTTGTCATTGTCAAATATTGGAAATTGTTAAACTTAGGTAAGAAATAGGATGGCCTCTGTAGTGCCTTTGTGTTTATGCGAGCAATTTTCTATCTACTTTTAGAGTTTATGTTATTAATTTCCATATAATTTTATGGTGGACCAATTTTGTTTCATATTTAGGTAAGCATATTTAGGAATAGAGTTGTAATATGTGTGAAATTTTGGATACTTGTGGGTACCATAGGTATGTGGCTGAAATAGAGCTTGAATTAATGTTTCATGTTTGGGATTTTGGGTATTGCAAATGGCTAGTAGGCCTATGGGCTCGCGAGTGGCATGCGGGCACAAGCCAATAGGCTCGTGGTCGGCCAGTGGACGAGTGGACACTACCTACTTATTTTAACTTTTAAATTTTAAATTTTTAATACTATAGACTTGTATTTAATAATCATTTCTAATCAAATATATTCCCGAATTTGTGTAGATGTTAGGATCCTCGGATGTTGAAGTTGCGAGTTCAACTTATCCGGAACCGAGTCCAACAAGTAGATACAATTATTGTTGGCTCTTCATCAAACACACAAGTGAGCACAAAGATGAAGAGAAGAGCAATGAGGCTAATGTCGATTGTATGAGACCATTTCACAAAGTTTGAAGATGAAAATAAAGACATCGAGGGGAGATGTAATTACTCGTGATAAGGTACTTCGCTCGCTCATCCTATTAGAAAATGATACTATTGCACTTAAATCTCATAGGATCATATGCAAAAAACACCCACATATGCTTGACCCTACCCAATCGAATTGAACTTTCAATCTAATTCAAGTGTTCAAAGGAGAGAAAACACTCTTAGCACTTGGAAGTTTGATCAAACTTGCATTAGAAATGCTTTAGCTTATATGATTGTTGTGGATGAACTTCCTTTCAAATTTGTAGAGAATGTGGGGTTTAAGTGATTTATATCAATTGCACAACCTAGATTTAAAATTTCATCACAGATTACCATTTCAAGAGATTGCTATCAACTTTATATGTATGAGAAATTAAAGTTGAAGTAATTTTTGAAAAATAATTGTCAAAGAGTTTGTCTTACTACGGACACATGGACGTCTATTCAAAGAATTAATTATATGTGTCTAATAACTCATTTTATTGACAATGATTGAAAGTTGCATAAAAAAATTCTAAATTTTTATCCGGTTGATGGTCATAAGGGTATTGATTTGGGTAGTGCTATTGAAAAGTGTTTGATTGATTGGGGAATTGAAAAAGTTTTCACTATTATTATAGACAATGCAAGTTCAAATGATGTGGCGATTAGATATTTGAGAGATGTTTTGAATAATTGGGGTCATGGCATCTTAGATGGGGAATTACTTCATATGAGGTGTATGGCTCATATTTTGAATCTTATTGTTTCGATGGGTTAAAAAATGCAAATCGTTTGTGTTCGAGTAGGCTGTGAGGTATATTAGACAATCTCCCGCTAGGTTGAGAAAATTTAAGGAATGCATAGAGATTGAAAAGATTGATTCTAAAAGTTTATTACATCTAGATGTTTCAACTATATGGAATTCGACTTATTTCATGTTAGATTCAGCTCAAAAGTTTGAGAGATCATTTAAGAGATATGAGTAAATTGATCATTTATATAGTATTGAACTTAATGTGGATCTTGGTGATGGGGCATCCGGGCCACCTAGTGTCGGAGATTGGAGGACTTGTAAGAAAATGGTGACAATATTGAAAAATTTCTATAACCTTATTTTGTACTGTTCGGGTCATTCATATGTCACTTCTAATAATTATTTTGATGAAATTTGTACGCTTGAAGCTGATTTGAGAGAATGACAAGAGTGTGCCGATGATGATACTTGTTTAATGGCTAGTAAAATGAGAGAAAATTTTGATAAGTATTGGAGGGATATGAAGAAAATGAATAAGTTGATTTATATTGGAGCCGTGCTCGATCCAACACATAAACTTACTTATGTTGTATTTACATTAAACGAATTGCATGGTGATTTTCTTGGAGAAAAGATGACAAATGATGTGAAAGAATGTACATATGCCCGGTATGCTTCATATTGTAATTTATCACTAAATCAAGGTCTTACTGGTCAAAGTAATGAGATTGTGAAAGTTTCAAGTGTAAGTGATGGAACGGATGCCAATCATGCTATGAAAGAAAAAAACAAAACACTTGCGAGGATGTCGCGATTTCAAAAAATCAATGAAAGTGAAGATGGAGATAAAAGATCACGAGCTCACAAATTGGATAAGTAACTTCGTGAATCTATCGAAATTGGAGATGAAAATTTTAATATTTTGAAGTGGTGGAAAAACAATTGTCTTCGGTTTTCTATCATTTCAAAAATGGCTCGTGATGTATTGGCGGTTTCAATATCTACCATTCCTTCATAATCAATATTTAGCATCGGAGGAAGAGTTCTCGATGCCTTTAGGAGTTCTTTAACTTCTAGTATTGTGCAAGCTCTTGTATATGCTCAAGATTGGCTTCAAAATTCGATGCCAATTACTATTGAAGAAGATTTGCAAGATGTTGAGAAACTTGAAGTTGGTAAGTTTTTCAATTCTTATATTTTCATTTGTCTTTTTTCCTTCCAAATTAATATTAAAGACTTAAAGTTTTAATTTTTTTTATCAAATTTATTAAAACTATCAATGGATACACTTATGATAGATATATGATGAATGGATGGTGGTTTGATCTTTTGAGTGACATGGGTAAATTTCTAATGAATTATCTTTATGTATGTCCATGTATGTTTGTAAATGCCTTTATATTTTATAGAATTGACATTTTTTTTCTTTTCTTTGCAGGATTTGTCATTTAGTGAACCTTTTGCTTAAAGCCTTGAACTTGTCCATTTGATGTTGTGACTTATAGGGGTTTTTTGAATTATTTTACTTGGCAAGTTATTAATGACTTAGTTTGGTATTATAGGCTTCTTGTTGTTGGTTTGTTGCTTTTACTTTTATAAATTACTCATGTTACTTGGTAATTTGGGAATGTTGAATACTTGAATTATTGTTTTTAACTTTTTATTTTGTTGAATACTTGAAATTGAATCGTTGTTTGACATTCTTGCTTTTTCATTATTGAAGTGTAGAGAATAGTGTAGCATCATGGTTTATTTGAAATTTGGATGGGGTCTATGTGTTATTATGGATTGTCATTAAAAAAAGTTGATATTTGAATGAATGTTGAGATCATGAAATCGAGGTAATTCTAATTAAGTTATTGATCGAATCAACATATGATATTGAGTATTAATTAAAGGTGAAAACCGAATTATCGAATAAAAAATCGGTATATTTCAAAATCGAATCGAAAAACCGAATAATAATTCGGTTCGATTTCGATTATTTTTTTAGACAATTTGGTTAACCAAAAACCGATCAAAAAAGTTCGAAATCGATCCAAATTACCGAACGAACACCCCTAGTTTCTATGGATGTGTTAAGAAAATTAAATCTTGAATAATTTTTTTTTATTATTATTTGTATCTTTAAATTAACTAGTATATTAATTAATTTTAAAAATACATCATTCATATTGAATAAATAAATTCAAATGAATTTATCTCTTTATATATAGTTTTTGCTTATATTGAATTTTTTATTTTTTGAAAAAATAAATGAAATTGTACATGATAAAAAAAAAAAACTTTGAAGTTATCTTGAATATGGCTGTTAGAAAAAAACGGTCAACATAATGAAGTAAGGAATGATTATCAATGGACCATGATTTTAATAGATGCACTGTAATTCTTATATATTATCACAAATTTTAAAATATTCATGGAATAAAAATCAATATTTATTTTATAGTTTTATTTTTGAGGAAAAATATAGACACAAAAGACAAGAGAAAATCACTTTCAATCTAATAAAAAATGATAACAATATTTTCACCTAATTTTAATTTAATTTAATTAATTTATATTTATCTATCTCCTACATACTAAGTATTATCAATTGTTCAATATGTAGTATAAAGTTTATCGTAATATTATTACTTAAGAAAAATAAAAGAATAATGCTAATTTTATTGAAATATTCTTAACAAAATCTATCTTTCCATTTATTATAACAATTGAGTTTATAACATTTATTAGTTCAATTCAGATATTCAATACATGTAATTTTCTAAAAATAATTTTAGGAAAAATATTTGGTAAGAATTAGGACTTATATTTTTAAGGAAAAACAAAAAAAACAAAAAGTTGGGGAATTTAGATCCAATGAGTTTAATATTCCTTTTGTGGGCCATGTTTCTGAAGGAACAGCTTTAGTTGCCCCACAGGAACCCATATTTTTAAAGTGAAAAAAAAACCCTCAAATATATTTATATTTGCACTGCTACCCCTATCCCTGCTTGACTTATCACAAATTAAAACTCACGAATTCCTTGAAACTGATGAAGTGGGCATAACCTCCTACTTAGTCCACAAAGTTCAGTTCAAAAACCAAAGAAACAGAAACCTACTACTTACTACTCCTATTGTTATTCTGCTCTTCAATACAAACCCAAGAAGATTTCTGTTTCTCAAGGCAATAAGACTGGCCTCAAATGGCCATATCTATACAAAAAACCATCTGGGATTGTGTTTTACAGATAACTAAGGTAGCCCAAGAAAAGGGCGGTGATCCTTTACTATGGGCTCTTCAGGTATCGTCTAATTTGAGCTCTAGTGGAGTCTGTTTGCCCTCTCCACAGCTTGCTAATGTCTTGGTTTCTTACATTTTTTGGGATAATAATATGCCCATTTTATGGAAGTTTCTTGACAAGGCCTTGACTCTCAAGATTGTGCCTCCTTTGATGGTTCTTGCTTTGCTTTCTGACAGGTTTTTTTCTTGTTGTTCTTGACCTTTTTTTTTTTTTTTGTTATTGAATTTAATGGGATTTTCTTTTTCGAGGCGATTGAAAGTGCAAGTAAAAGTTGGTAAAGTTTGAGACGTTTTTTGTTAAGAGTCAATATTCTGTTATTTACTATACTTTCTTATTGATGTCAAAAGCCCTTGCTGTTATGTATGTTATCAATTGCACACTCAATATCCAGTCATATGGCTTCTCCCCATTTATGGTTTACATTTGTTTTCCTGATCATAAACTTATTTCAGTCTGACATTTTCCCTTGGCTTTGGACTCATAAAATTGGAGGAATGGAAACTTGAATATAATGAAGTGTATCTTTTGTCTTATGTGTTGTGATGATATACAAGATGTTGAAGATTTTGATTTTAGATCCCTACATTTTCTTACTACTTAAATGGAAAAAGCCTATGATCAGTGAATGTTGCAATTCATCTGACATTCTATTCCCTGTAAAGGTTTCTGCTTTTAAGCAATGCCAAAACAAGATCTTAATGTGGAGTTGATTTCTTGTTTAATTCTGGCATACAGGTCTATATATATATATATAATTGATTTGTTATGGATATGTGCCATCATTTCTTTTTTGTTGCATGATGGTTTAACTGGAACTGGATATGCAAATTCCAATCAGTTCTGTTTTCAATTACTCTTGAATTGCTTTTTTTTTTTTTTTTTTTTTTTGGCTTTGACTGAGGAGTGCTATATAGGTTGGAAATGGATTTGTCTGTTTCATATTAGTATCGAGTTGTTTTATGCAATTTGGTCTTTTTTTTCTAAGTGAAAATTTCTGGAATCTCTTCTTTTTCCACTTCACATTTTTTTAATGTGAATTCATTGCATTGTTTATTTCCACAGGGTTGTTCCATGCAGATGGTCCCAGCCAGTGGCATACAGGCTTTATATGGAACTCCTTAAGAGATTTGCTTTTGAACTTAAGTGCCAGATTAATGTGCCAAACTATGAAATGTGAGTTCTAGCTTCATCTTGCGTACCATATGAGAACTGGAGACTTTGCTTGCTTTTGCACTGTCAATTATTTAGAATGTGACTCATTTGCCTTCTGGATTACAATCCAACAGCCAATGGGTTTCCTCATTTTCATCCCTTTATGTGTGCTTATGAGCAGCAAACAGTGCTGGTTTATGCCTTGCAAAGCTATATGCTTGTGTGCTTTGAAGCTATATGCTTTGAAGGCATGAAAAAAAAAAAAAAAAAAACTTAAGTGATGTAAATTTCTTTGGAAGAAAAATCAAGTGCATTTAAATTTCGCAACATGGCCTAGCTAAATTCTAAACTGTTTTTATTCTTTAAGAACAACTGTTGCATGCCACAGTTAGGAAGTTATATCTCACATTCGTTTGTTATTTCTTACATTTGAATTCCTAATTGCAAATGATTTCATTGTGCATGCACTTTTGAATACTATGCAATTGAAAATGCAAGCATTCTAGAGTTAGGTAGGGATAAGTTGTTTTCAATTGGTTTGCACTATTTATATGTTATTCCTTTCATTTTCTTCAATAATTGCCTAAAAATTAGTATCAGTTTAGATTGTAATTTGTATTTTTCCTGCATTCTTTTTGCAGGGTCATGAAATCAATAGATGGCGTTCTTCATCTTTCCCATAATTTTGGTCTGCAAGCTAACGATCCTGGGATCCTGGTGGTTGAGTATCTCTATTCAATTGTATCGCAGTTGTTAGATGCCTCATTGGATGATGAAGGTTTGTTGGAACTTATGCCAGAGATGAAGTCCAGATGGGCAACAAAACCTCAAGAAATGGAAATTGATCCTGATGATAATTACGAGAACCCAAGTGAGCATAATGAGAAATTGTATAAGATGAATACCATAATGGCCATTGAGATGATCGGAAAATTTCTCCAAGATAAATCAACTTCAAGGATTCTCGATTTGATGCGCCAGAACTTGTATGTATATTTTACGCCATTAGAATTGCTGCTTAAATTTTTTATCGAAATCTAGTCATGTGAATCAAACTGAGATTTAGATTCATGTTTGGTTTTTCCTAGTAGCATTGGATTGAAGTGCATTCACCTTAAACTGAATATGGTTGAAATTGATGCATTTATCAAATGGGAAAAAAATTCGACTTGCTCTCAGTCAAGTTTTCTCCTACCTTTTCCCGGTCTATCACATGAATTATACTTCCCTCTTCCTCTTCTTTCTCAGTCACATGTTTCAAATTTTGGCAATCTATATTCATTGTGACTCTTCACAAATAGCTTTATTAACTTCAGTTTGGCCTGTGGTTTGGATGTGCAATCACTCACATACATACGCTTACCTCTTTTCAGGCCCACACATTGGGTAAGTTTCATCCAGAGATTACAGCTGCTTGGAGCAAATTCATCAGCATTAAGAAATTCAAAAATTCTTACTGCTGAGGTTCTTCTGCAGTTGACTGCAGATTCAGGTAGTAGCATTTTATTGAATGGAGAATCCAAAACAAGTTCGTTGCAAAAGTTCCATTCAGTTATGGCTTTTGGATCTCTAGTGTCTTCCTCTGGTTTGTGTCAAGGAGCTAGTCGTTCTGCTCTATGGCTTCCTCTTGATCTTGCATTAGAAGATGCCATGGATGGGTATCAAGTTAATGCGACAAGTGCTATTGAAATCATAACTGGTAGGGCCAGAGTTGAGATATTCTTTAAGCCTATATGATATCATCTCAGTTCTTACAGAACAAGTATCAAATGAGAGTGAATATTTAAGTTTTCATGTTGTGCAGGTTTAATTAAAACACTTCAAGCGATAAATGGAACCTCATGGCATGACACCTTTCTAGGCCTTTGGATTGCAGCTCTCCGTCTTGTTCAAAGGGTTAGGATCCATTGTTTATTTCTTCATAAATGTATTTAAAATAAGTATTTTGGGCCATAAATATAAAGTTTCTTAAAGCATTCAAGTCAAGGCTGCATGCATCTCATGCTGACTACGATAGTATCCCCAGGGTGAAATGGGACAAAAAAAAAAAAAAAAAAAAACTCTCTTGGTTTTGTTTAATGCCTCGTGGTCTGGATTTCACTCCATCATCATCTAGGATCTTTTTTCACTGAATTAGTTTATTTTAGAGGCCTCATTCATTTATGGAATCAAATGAGTTTATTCCCTGGCTTTTCAAGAGCATTCTTCTTTGTTTCAAGAGTCTATTTATTCAAATCATTCATAATTATCTTTGATTGTCAGGAAAGGGATCCCATTGAGGGTCCTATCCCACGATTGGATGCTCGCTTATGCATTTTACTATCCATCACAACTCTAGTGGTTGCTGATCTAATTGATGAAGAGGAGAATGCACCTATTGATGAATCAGTATGTGGCTCAACAAATCACTGGAAAGATAAAAAGCTTCCAGGAAAGCGGCACGATGATTTAGTCTCCAGCTTACAGTTATTGGGTGATCATCAGTCATTGCTGAGTCCGCCTCAATCTGTTGTTTCTGCAGCCAATCAGGCTGCTGCAAAAGCCATGTTATTTGTTTCAGGCATCAATGTTGGGAGTACATACTCTGAGTGCATCAACATGCAAGACATGCCGATAAACTGTTGTGAGTTATTTCTGGTTCTCATTCATCATTAAAGATTTAATGAAATTCTATGTCAACAAGGTGCAATCCCCCCACCTGAGTCTGCTTTCTTGTTTCTTGAAGTTTATCATTAGTGCTTCAGGGAATTGTTCAATGCTGCAGTATGTAGCAGGTTGGCATCTGGTTCTGTGATCTCACTCAAAAATGTTTTGAGCAATGTGATATTTGATGGAGGATCCGAAAAATCTAGTGTCCTTGAGAGTTTCCTGGGTTCGGCAATACCATCTCCTTGGAAGCCACAAAGAATATCTTTTCAACCAAACAGAATGAAAATGGATTGCACATGTCACACATAAATATGCATTCAGACTGGATCCAGGGGGCCAGTAGGGCCATGACCCAACCCCCCCCTCAACAAAAAAAAAAAAAAAAAACACCTCAATGCTGCCCTTTGGTCCTCTTTCACTCCCATATGGATTTTTCCTCCCTTTTAAAATGTTATACACGTGGTTTCTTTTCTTAAATAAGTTCTATTTAAATGCCTAAAAAGGAAATAGTTGACATGTTTTAAGTATCTTGATTTCGATCCTAGATGCATCTCTGTCTGCATGCATACAGTCAATCATATGCAATAAGAAGCAAGGGAACACCAGTATCAACTGGCTTGCTTTCTAGAGGAATGCAGAAAAGTTTATAACTGCACTGCAACAGTCATGTTGAGACAAAATTGATATGTGCAGGAGTCATATCTGTTAAACAAGGCAAAATGATATAGTATTGATTTACTAAAGAACAATGGTTGATCTAAGTGAAGCGACCTCAATACCTACAGAGGGGGATAAGTTATCCCTGGTTTTTCATCGTGGACCTTTTGAATGATGTTTCTTTTCATCATGCACTCTTGTAAACTTTGCATTTTGTTTGTTCTTATTGATGAGCATATTTTCTTTTTCCAACATTCTTTTATGCATTTGATGTTTAGCTAAGATCTCTCTGTTACTTGTATATAACATTCAGTCCTATGTACCCAAATTGGTGGCTGTACCATGTTTCATTCTTCTGGACTAGTGCTTCCTCTTTCAACATATTGTTGAGGTTTACTAATCATAGGCCTTGTGCTCTTTCAGCTGGAAACATGAGACATCTGATTGTCGAGGCTTGCATCGCGAGAAATCTATTGGACACGTCAGCGTATTTCTGGCCAGGGTATGTCAATGGATGCATCAACCAAATACCTCACGGTGTGCCAGCTCAGGTGCCTGGTTGGTCATCGTTCATGAAGGGGGTCCCTCTTTCTCCAGTGATGGTCAATGCTCTGGTTTCAAGTCCTGCTTCAAGGTATACTCACACTTCATCTTAAAGTGAGTGATGTTAATTTATCCAGACCATATTTCTGTTATTGAAACTTTATTTATGCAAATCTACAGAAATAGTAGTGTATCAAATCAATTAATTTCTCAATCTCTTTTACAATGTCCTTTCAAGATTGAGTTCAAAACTTTTCTCCCTATTGTATCTCCATTTTTGGATTCTGTAGCTTAATTATGATAGAAGAGATATCTAGATATTGGGAGGCTAGGATCATTGAATAGATAGACTATTTATAATGGATAGTTTTGTCAAAGGATCATCTCACCCAAAAGCTTAAGCTGTTAGGTGAGGTCCTAGGATAAGTGAAAGCCCTTTGGGCTCGAAACTTGCACAGTCCAATGCTACCTAGTGCTTAATTAATTAGAAGATAAAGTGAGGGTGGTGGGATTCGAACTTGCGACCTTTGGTCATCAAGGCTTTGATATCATGTCAAAGGACCATCTCATCCAAAAGCTTAAGTTGTTAGGTGAGGCCTTAGGATATGATTTATATAATTTAACAATTTTAGGTGGGACCCTTATCTGATGAATTCCAACTTTTAAGCTGTGCAAAAAAATAAGTGGTTTTCAGGCTTGACATTTTAATTTGCAAAGAGAGAGTGAAATCTAATAACATAAAAGAGATGAAAGTGATTCTTTTGGCTGTTAACTTTAGTATGTGGATGCTTCTTCCAACATACAAAACCAAGATGAAGTTTTTGTAAATAAAATTTCCTTATCCTTTAACTTCTTTGATTTTGTCCTGGTCTTCAGTACTTCTTTTTCTTTCCTGAAGCCAGGTATGTCAGATGCTCTTTTTTGTAAATTAACCAAGGGTAAAGCAACTGAATTTAAGCTCATGGATTTGATGGAAGCTTATCAGAGCTCGAGAACATATTTGTGCTTGCGGTGAAGGGATCAGATGATGAGAAGATATCTGCCGCAACAGTTCTTTGTGGGGCTTCTCTTCTTCGGGGTTGGAATATACAGGTAAGCTGATACTTGATAATTGTGAGAGATTTTTTCAAGTGTACTGCTTTGAGCTCCCCCTTCCCCGAAACCACTCTAATTATGCCAATGTATTAATTTTTATGCAGGAACACACTGCTCATTTCATTACTAGATTATTGTCTCCTCCGGTTCCTGCAGAATATTCTGGAAGTGACAGCCATTTGATACGCTATGCTCCAATGCTGAATGTACTTATCGTGGGAATAGCAACTGTGGATTGCGTTCAGATTTTCTCGCTGCATGGCTTGGTGAGTGAGTTGTTCCTACTACTGATGCTCAGTTTTCCACTGTTTTGATAAGAAATGATTTTATTGTTGGTTTGAATAGATTTTGTTGATTTTGATGATACTTTGTGATTGGTTAATTTTGTGCAATTCATCGTTGTACTTTGGTTGCCTTGAGGGCTGGTTTGGCCTCTGAGAAATGAAACAATTGCTGGAGCACAAGTGAGCAATGTGATTGAAGTTGAAGGTGCTTGGGTGTAGGAAAAGCTTTAGAGATTGCTATTTTAAAATAGGACATGATCATGATAGCTTATAATTGGACAAGATTTTTGCCTGTTGAAGGTGAATAAACATGTAATACTCTTGTTGGTGGCCCATTGTATTGGACTAAGGCTTCTTCTGACAATTGAGTTGAGCTACTTTTCAGCTCCTGAATGGAGCATACTCTGAAATTAGGAATACAGGAACAGAGTAGTTGCAAATGGATGTGATCAATTCACAAAGCTACAATTGGTATAATAACTCATACCATCAGGATATAGCATGCTTATGAATTTTATTAGATTTGGAACCCATCAAATTTATCAAGAGAATGGGATTTATTTATTTTTCTTAAACAAAAAATCTATTTTACTTGTTTTGATTCAACTATTGGTATTTCCTTTCAGGGGCATTTTTCATTAGTGATTGGGATATTGATTTCATCCACAAGCTAACTCCTTTTCTCCCTCATGATTGTTTCTTTTATGCTTTTCTTGCCAGGTTCCACAACTTGCATGCTCATTGATGCCCATCTGTGAGGTTTTTGGTTCATGCGTGCCTGATGTCTCCTGGACTCTGCCCACAGGAGAAGACATCTCTGCCCATGCTGTGTTTTCGAATGCATTCGCTCTTCTTTTGAAGCTATGGCGGTTTAATCATCCTCCTCTTGAACATGGAGTGGGAGATGTACCCACAGTTGGATCCCAGCTAACTCCTGAATACCTCCTATCAGTACGAAACTCCCACCTAGTCTCTTCTGGACACGTCCACAAGGATCAGAACAAGAGGAGACTCTCAGCAGTTGCAACTTCATCATCTGCACAACCCATATTTTTGGACTCATTTCCCAAATTAAAAGTCTGGTATCGACAGCATCAAAAATGTCTAGCTGCAACTCTCTCTGGTCTTGTTCATGGAACTCCTGTTCATCAGACCGTCAACGTGCTTCTTGACATGATGTTCAAAAAGATTAATAGAGGAAGCCAATCGTTAACTACTGTTACTTCTGGAAGTAGTGGTTCATCTGGACCTGGAAATGATGATTCTGCTCCGAGACCTAAATTACCGGCCTGGGATATCTTGGAAGCTGTTCCTTTTGTGGTTGATGCTGCTTTGACTGCCTGTGCTCATGGAAGACTTTCGCCCCGTGAACTGGCTACAGGTTGGTATATGCTTGTCTGATTTCATTTGTATAGGCAGGCTCATAAAAGGAACCCGAAAATCTGTCGAGCTGATGTTCCAAAAAATTATCCTTGAAAAACTGGAAGTTGCTGGTAATGCTTACCTATATTGCCTTAGATTTTCTCAAATGGCACCTATTTATTTGACCTGGTAACGTAAGCGACCAAAAATAGTCAACTTATATGAATGGTAACCATAAAATTTTTTAACTCTCAGGCCTTAAAGAGTTAGCTGATTTTCTTCCTGCATCTCTAGCAACCATTGTGAGCTACTTCTCAGCTGAAGTAAGTCGTGGAGTTTGGAAACCAGTATTTATGAATGGTACAGATTGGCCCAGTCCTGCAGCAAATTTGTCCAATGTTGAGGAGAAGATCAAGAAAATATTAGCTGCTACTGGTGTTGATGTCCCAAGCCTTGCTGCAGGTTTTTCTTGCTACCATTATAAGTTATGATGCTTGTATTGTAATAATTACTTCAAGGAGCTGCATTGCTAGGCAAGAAAAGAAAGGGTGAGGGGGAGGAAAAAGCATTTAACCTATCACACAATGTGTTTGACTTGCACAGATAGTTTGAAGTAGTGACTTACGAGTCAGAAGCATTATACTAATCATCTTAATTAAGTTTACCCAACTATCCTATTTCTTTTGCTTTACATGTGCCAAGTGTGCTTTCAATTTTATGCTGTTATAATTGGTATAGAAACATGCTTATCTGCAATTAAACTGCTGTAAGATCTTTTCCTAACTGAGTTCTTGTAGATATGGTTTCTTAAATATTCTAACTAATGCTTGTCATTCTCACAGGTGTGAGCTCTCCGGCTACACTTCTGCTGCCCCTGGCTGCTTTCGTTAGCCTCACCATAACCTATAAAATTGACAAAGCCTCAGAACGATTTCTCAATTTGGCTGGTCCAGCCTTGGAATCCCTTGCAGCTGGTTGTCCTTGGCCTTGCATGCCAATTGTGGCATCGCTGTGGACCCAGAAGGCGAAACGATGGTTTGACTTCCTTGTGTTTTCTGCATCCCGTACTGTCTTCCTTCACAACAATGATGCAGTGTTTCAACTTCTTAAAAGCTGCTTCTCTGCGACACTTGGTCTGAATGCCACAGCTATCTCAAGTAATGGTGGTGTTGGAGCTCTTCTAGGCCATGGGTTTGGTTCCCATTTTAGTGGGGGAATTTCCCCAGTTGCTCCAGGAATTCTCTATCTCCGTGTTTACCGAAGCATCCGTGATATTGCATCCATAATGGAAGACATTATTTCACTCATGATGCTTTCTGTGAGAGAAATAGCATGCACTGGGCTTCCTAGAGAGAGGTTAGAGAAGTTGAAGAGATCAAAAAATGGACTAAGATGTGGCCAGTTTTCGCTCACTGCAGCAATGACTCGAGTGAAACTTGCAGCTTCACTTGGGGCCTCTTTAATATGGTTATCTGGTGGCTTAGGTTTGGTTCAGGCATTGTTTAAAGAAACTTTGCCCTCTTGGTTCATAGCTGTTCACAGGTCTGAGCAGAAAGAAGGGTCCAAGGGGATGGTCGCCATGCTTGGGGGGTATGCACTAGCATTTTTTTCAGTACTTTGCGGGGCCCTGGCCTGGGGAGTTGACTCATCATCGTCATCATCAAAACGTCGTCCAAAAGTACTTGGTGTGCACATGGAATTTCTAGCAAGTGCACTTGATGGGAAAATATCACTTGGTTGTGATTGGGCCACTTGGCGGGCCTATGTGTCTGGTTTTTTGAGCCTAATGGTTGGTTGCACACCTTCCTGGGTACTAGAGGTGGATGGTGATGTTTTGAAGAGACTAAGTAAAGGACTGAGGCAGTGGAATGAGAAGGAGCTTGCCCTGGCTCTGCTGGAATTTGGCGGGGTGGAGACCATGGGTGTGGCTGCTGAACTCATAATCGAAGATCAATGATTCCCACTTTTACCAAATGTCATTTTCTAATTTTATAGGTTAGTCGGTTTTCTAACGTATAGTTGCTCCCAAATTTTGTTCAAATGTAAGCGTTTTCACCTTTCAGAAACAGAAAAGGAATATCTTGTACAAAAGGCTTGTTGTATGCAACATAGGGTCCCAAACACCATAGACTGTTATAGAGCATCCTTGGTTAATTTGTCCAAGCTTTGTTTCACAAGGGCTCTTCTAGCCGATGGATTTGAACTTTCTAGCTTGATACGAGGCAGACTAGGTCTAATATCTAACTGAAGAGTCAACTTTTGGTCCTCTATCTAGGCCGTTATGGGATGTACCAAAATGCCCCAGTAGTTAGTAGGTGTGTTCATGGCATGTCTGCAACATCTCACCGTGACAATCATTGTTAGCCTGTCTTGCTCTGAGCAAATCAATTCAAGCTTATCCAATCCGGCTGCTAAACTCGTCTGCATGCTTGACAATCATTGTTAGCCTGTCACATTTTGCCCAAGATGAGAAAGCACTAATTCAAAAGTATCAGTACTCCCATCGAAAAGGGACTAAATTATGATAGAATATATCAAAATTTTATAAATTGCAATGTTCTAAACCATCCCCGTTGAACTGTTTTAAGTGCGTTGCTCGTTGAACTAACATCATAGGCAGTTGTGACAAGCATCTACGACTACCAAATCGCGGGCTCATCCGTAAGCAAACTGAAAGAACGTTATTCCATATCACATAACACCGCTATATCCAGGCATTCTATGCATTCTATGGCTTTGCATAGCTCTCCTTACCAAAAATGCATCCTCCCACCTCCCCGCATCTGCATATATGCTGGATAAAAGGACTCTACTTGGCCCATGAGATGGTTCCAACTTTGCCAAATTTTCTGCAGCCCTTTCTCCCATAATTACGTTCCGATGTGTTTTACATGCTGACAACAACATGCCCCAAATAACAACATCAGCCTTCATAGGCATGCTCCGTATCAGTTTTTCAGCTTCCTCTAGTTGTGCAGCTCTGCCCAAGAGATCAACCATACAACCATAATGCCTAATATCAGGGTCTATATTGTGTTCGGACTTCATGCTCTTAAAATAGCCCTTCCCTAGCTCCACCAACCCAGCATGGCAACACGCACCGAGGACACCGATGAAAGTGATTGCATTGAGCTTAATATGGCGCCTTTGCAAGTCCGAATATATTTCAATAGACAATTTTGCATGTCCATGTGTGGCCAACCCACATATGATGGAGTTCCAAGGTGAGACAGTAGATGCCTTATCTCGAATTTGATAGAACACTTCCAAGGCAGTATTGATGCCACCACACTTGGCGTACATGTCAATGATTGAAGCACTTAAATTGTCATTTAGAGGGATGGAGTTATAAAGCACATATTCATGGGCCCATCTCCCTTCTTTTAATGTGCCTAAAGTAGCAATTGCTGAGAAAACACTCACCATTGTCACTTCATTTGGTCGGATTCCACTAGCTACCATCCTATGAAACAGCTCCAAAGCCATGCTAGGCTGGTCACTGTGTGCATAACCTGAAATCATTGTACTCCATGAAAAAACATCTTTCCCAGGTAACTCATTGAATAATTGCCTTGCCTGATCAATCATTCTATTTCGTATAAATCCTCCTATGAGAGCATTTTGAGAAGCAACATGGCCCTTAATGCCCAACTCAAATTGCAAACAAGCCTCTTTAATCCTGCCACAAGCTGAGTAAAAATGGATAACTGTTGCCTGCACAAAGTCATAACAGTCAAAACTTATCTTCATAATAACACAGTGCAATTGCCGACCCTCACCAATTGCCATTGCTCTCCCACATGCAGAAATTAAACCAGCCATCGTAACTTCACTAGGTCCCAACCCTGTAGAGACCATCAACTGATACATCATGAGAGCTTCTCCCAACCTTTCTACTCGAACGTAAGCATCAATGATTGTACCCCACGAAACCACATCTTTATCCGGAATCATCTCAAACACCTCCCTAGCCAAATTGGCAGACCCTGCCTTCGAATACCCATTTAACATTACATTCCACGTAACTACATTCTTTTCTCGCATCTCATCAAACAAAGCACTCGCTTCACCTAAACTTGAAGAAGCGCAGTACATTTTTAACAGATTCGTTGAAATAAGAACAAACCCATCAAGCAACATCTTGATAACCAATCCGTGAAGCAATCTACAATCCCAAATCCCACCCACATGACAACAAGCGGATATCACACTCGCCATAGTCACCTCATTAGGTACCACACCCACATTTCTCATTTCCTTATAAACCTCAATTGCCTCGCTCCAAAAATCATTTTGAACAAACCCCAATATCATCGTAGTATACGAAACACAACCTTTTTGAGGCATTACTTCAAACAACTTACGCGCATCATCTAAATTTCCAGATTGAACATAGCCAGCAATCATTATATTACAAGACACAGGATCCAACTTAGGACACGAATCAAACAATGATTTTGCAAGACCGAAAAACCCACATTTGGAATACATGTTAAGCAAGCTGTTTTGTATGAAAGTGTTTGAAACAAGGCCTGATTTGAAAACAAGGCAATGGATTTGTTGGCCATCTTGGCCTTGAGAGATAGCCAAATGGGTTGCGCAGGATTTTAAAGCTGAGACTAAAGAGTGCTCGAAATTGGAGTTTTTGTTGTGTGTTTTGAGAGTGAGGAGATATTGGAGATGGTGAATTAGGTATTGTTGTGATTGAAATGGGGTTTGGAGGGTTTTTGTGGAGACCCATTTGAGAGAAGAAGTGAGTGCAGGTGAGACTGGAGGAGGAGAGCAAATGACAAAGCGAAGGAGAGATTTGGGTGGTTTGAAAGATTGGATCATGGGAGGGAACCATAGGAACCCTTTTTGGGTCGATTTAAAGAAGAAACAGAGTTTAAAGGGAAAAGGATACCATTGTCTTTTTCTTTCTTTACCGAAAGAGCAGTAGCAACTAGCAGCTAGTAAGGCAGTCAGTGGATAGTCAGACCATTTAGTGTTAAGACAGAAATAAGGATGTAATTGCCATCATAAGAAGAGTTCAAGAAAATCTGCGAGGCTAAACAATTAGACTCTCCACTCAAACCAAAGCATCAATCCAACCCACACTCTCTCTTTTTGATATTTGCAAGCAATTCGGATATTTGTGAGCTCCACAATTAGTCTTCTACAGTTTACAAATCCATTTACGTTTTTGTTTTGTAAGCGATATCACATAATTGATATCGCCTGCAAAAATGATAAGTTATACAAACGATCCAAGAAAGTGACTGAAGCCCAAAACCTCCTCTCTTCACATCCTAAACCAAGTCCTTAATGGTCAACATTTGGATTGTTATTTGAAGTTGTTTTAATATCAAGTTGCACGAGTAAGGGAAGAACGCAACAAGGCAACTGCAGGTTCTACAGTTTGCTTACGATTAAAATAATAAAAATAAAAAGCTTGATAGTTTGCTTAAGAGATCTATTCTTGAAAACGAATGGATGACAACGAATTGGCACATCTTACATCCATCATCTATCGCAAAAGATGTTTCATATATATTCCTGCTAAATTACTAATTGCCGTTAAAACGAACCACAAAATCATTTGGGGACTGAAAAACCAGGCAACATAAAGAAATGATTTGGTATTTAACGTATTGGCATGTTTGTGGGCTCTATGAACTTTTAAGGTTACATTGTACTTGGCCAATAATATTTATGCCTGGAATCTGTACTTCACATTCCATTAGCAAAAAGAAGAGAGCCGAGGCAAGACAAGAAACAGGCTTGATCCTGAAGTGCCAAAGGCTATAATTTCAAGACCAGCAAGAAGGCTCAGGCCGTCTTTGTCCAGAAATTATGAGCTCTAGGATTCTAACGTCCCAAATGATCGATCCTGTTCCAACAACTCTGTGCATATCTAAAATAAAGCTAAATCATCAAAGTATGTCAACCAAAAGACGCTAAATATTGAAGTGCGCAACCATTCATTTGGTAAATCTATATATTTATTCCTATTAAATTTGTAATTCCTTCCAGGAATGGAAGCCACTTGTTAAATCTGTATGACTTTTCTGAAATGAGAAGAATTTTTCATGAAAGTTCATGCAAAGGCATGCTTGTTTCAGACACGTTGAAAGTGCAGCTCAGCCAGATCATGGGATTGGAAAAAGTGTCCTGATCAAGGAGCGTGTCCTTCTAAAAAGGAACAAACATCCAAAATCTAAAAGGTAAACAAGATAGTAAGAGGAGGGATATAAAGGGGGCATGACAACGAAACCACCATGAATATGTCAACGATGATCTCCTCCATTAGCAGCCACATTAGCCAGAGCCCTACAAGTGCAGCAAATCCAGAAGTTAAAACCATAACAACAAATTAATTATTTCTATTAATCTGATACCACAAAGGTTTAAATGGTACTATAAGTGTATCATAAGCAGCATAATAGTGCATTCTCGGTGTAAATGAATTGTGTTAAACATGAAACCTATAAATGACTAACTCCTATGTCAGAGGCTTGAACTGTTTTATCTATACATGGTTGTAGATGGTCTTGTCATTCCCTCTTACAATCCAAGCAAATGCTGAAACTAAAACTTGGGTTGTCATTGACTAACACCACCCCAGGCCCAAAACTATACATTTTTTTATTATAAGAAAACCCTGCCAAATCCAGTAATTCAGGGAGTGAGGGTCTTGGTAATAAAGCCAGGAGAAGTTCTGAAAGAAGTTGTTATATTGCAAACATACAAAGAAATGGGGATGATATACATGAGCAAGACAAATGAAGACAGCCAAATAGCCATGTGATTTGTTTGAGATGCCTAAAAGCAGATCAGTGTATTGCAATCAAGAGATTATTAATCTTGACTAATTCAGCAATAATGCTTAAACAACGATGCTTGAGAGAGATCAGAACAGCATTCCTGTAGATTTATCAAGATTAACTAGCAATAAACCATCTTCTCAATTGCACAATAACATCACTTAAACATGGTTTGACATTTTAGAGTTTGCCTCAATTTGTCCATTGAGGTAGTTTGTCCATCTCTTCAGTAAGACTTCAAATTGCTTTGACAACAGAAAATTAACTTCTATCTATATCGATAGGAGCATCCCTTGGATTATGCATTGTCCATACTTACCAGTTTTGTTCAACAGGTTTGAGTTTAAAAGATCTTCCACAGCACTTACCTAAAGCACAAAACAGTTACCAAAAAGCTTAAGTGCGTCCACATAGAGAGACTAAAGAGAAATTGCCAACGACCTCATAATGAGTATGCTTAAATAAGGTAAATACTAATTGCAGCTCAAAAGGGCATGCTGAACGAGTGGCAGAAAGGTGCTTTTTTATGGGATACGACTATTTTGACAGACAGCAGAAGTAGTTAATTGTGTCAGGAACAACCATATAAAACACAAGAAAAAAAATGCTATAACTTTCAAATAGGGTTGGAACAATTGCACTGATCAGTTTTTAATAATTAAAACTTGCACATTTGAAACAGGGCAGCAACTCACTGCTCTCAATGATAACCATCAAGAAAATGCTTCATGTGTAGGATCCAACAATACCTTTTTTAGCAGAATGGTTGTGCGGAATTTTGGCAATGCTAGTGGCTGTTTTAGAACAGTTTCCAGCAGGCCAAATTCGTCTGACGCCTATTTTTTTTTTCATCCTATAAGTAATCTTCCAAGGCCTAACCTTTGACAGAATTCTATAAGGCTTCCACTGAGAAAAGATGAGTAAGAGAGGAGAAAACAGGCATGAAAACACTTAAATCACAAGTCAACTGAGCCCAAATTGAAATGGGCAACCCCACACCAAACTCATCCAAAACAGCTATAGTGCTACACCTACGAGTTTAAGAACCTGAAAAATTCTAACCAGGAGTAAACACAATACTTTTCATCAGGTTCAAGTGATTGTAAGTTAGTATAAGAAATAGAAGAATTTGAACCTAAAGACAACAGATAACATTTCAAACTTGCAGGAACTGTGTGCAGAATGTTGTATAATTAAGTCCGAGAAAAAAAATGCACAAGAGGCTTGAGAGGGAAATTTTTCATTCTTAACAACACAGTTTGAGAAGGCTATAGACAAGCCATGAGTACCTTAGCTCAAACAGTTAAGTTGATAACATTGGTTATCTATATTCTTGAATCACAAATGTGAGCTCAAATTCATTTTTTATGTAATTTAATTCCAGCCGCCATCTATCTTCATCACTTGCACTCAGCCACTACTATGTCGCTGCCCATCCATAGCCCTGTCTAACTCTCACACATATTTTTCAAGCCAACCCAAACTGTATCTTGTTGCAACCATGCTTCATACTTGATAACAGTCATGGAAGATCACTTCTCCTTAAACTTCAAAAACTCCTTTGGTCATGAATTAACTATAGCCCATTGAAACATATCCTTCACTTTCCTTTTTTGTGCTCCTTTTCTTTTCCTTTTCTCTGGGAGGGGGTTGGAGGGATTATATAACGAGTTAGACATTGAAACTTGCACAGTCAAGGCCAAGTTCAAGGAAATTTAATTGAGTATAGCTACAACATATATTCAAAGCAGACAAAGCCTCCTTTGATCAGCCCTTTTATACTCCTATACGTAGACTAAGTAGCTGGAAACTTTATTGGGCATAATAATTGGGAGCCAACAGCACGACTTGTGTGAAACCTCTGACGAATTTCACTTGCAGCTTCTCATCAATAAACTGCAAGCAAATGAAGCACTCCAGCCATTCATTTTATGATTGGATTATTACCAAGTAAAATCTCAGCCGTGGCTTCTATAAGCAAAGATTTATTATATCTGGACTTCTATCACTCTGTACACCCATGATCAAAAGGAGACTCAACAAGGGATATTTTACCCAGAATGCGACAGGAATACAGTATATAGAGATTACTGAACACAACCTAATACTTAACCAGTATCAACTGTGAACCTATTGTTCAATCAACCCAATTTAGTGTTAAGGCACTAATTCCACTCGAACTTGGCGTGCTGCATGCGTTTAACAAAATTCACCATCTGACTTGCTTTATTATAAATTATACACCTCCACTCATCCACAGACAAATCAATTTGTGATCAGTCTGCAGTAGTTAAATAGGCGATTTTCACCTATTTCGCATAGCCTAAATTTTTCAGGATTCCAGCAATACAACCCAGCAAAGAAAAGGAAATAAACGAAGCTCCAAGTGCAAACAAGATCATTCTGGAGTGATCAACATAAAAAATAACTTGCATGTAATCTTCCAAAGAGAGACACGTCAAATTCTGAAGCACAAGATGGTTTAATCAAAGAAAGCCAATGGACGAGCATTCCTGAAGATATTAATGACAGAGGGAAAGCTTAATAACTCAGTACTCTGATAACGTGAGCCAGATGGTGCCAACTCCTCAAATGATCAACAATCTACACGTTCCTCACCAAAGTTTCTAGTAAAGGTCCCTTGAAAAAAATAATGAATATGTTTTCTCAATTGAAATCAACTACCATCATGGCCAAAACATTTATAGAAGAGTCTATATATCTCAGACATAGCGGTATCAAATCCATAGGCACTAGAAAATGGTTTGGCATATGACTCATCAACAAGCAACCACATTATGGAAAAGGAAAACAAAACGAAGCACATCAAGTGAAAGTGCCTATTGTTAACCTACAACATGTCAAGCAAACCATATTATTTCCCGAGGATAGAAGATACAAGGCAATCAAACTTCTAAAAGTATAATGAAAGGATAACAAAATGAAGCACATAAACGTGCAGGTACCTATTGTTAACCTAGAACAGGTCAAGTAAACCATATTATTTCTCAATGATGGAAGATACAAAGCAACCAAAATTCTACAGGACAATACAGTTCCTAGATTTAACATATAGAAACAAACATTACCTCACCCCTGTATAAAAAAAATTTTCACTGAGTAAAAGATGTACTGTAACAGTGTAGACTAGATTATATTAAGCATATAATTAGCACCATTTGTGTTCATTGTAAACCATGAACAACCACATGATTTTAACAACGCGGAGGTTCTAAAAAAACAAAATTTCCCCGATTGAAGCATGTCAAATGCAACTACCAAAAGTATCCACACAACATCCAGAGATCATCAGAAGATCATATCAATCTCCAGACACAAAAAGTTGGTCCCGTTTCAAACGGAATTTCACACATAACTACACTTTAAATTCACATCCACAAAAATAGCAAACAAATCATGATGGTTGATCTAATAAAGAACAAGAATATCAGTCGAATCAGCTGAAATCAAAAACCCCAAAATGAACAGTGAAAGAAAACTCACTTTTTATGCCGGCGACCACGTTTAGGTCCCCAGCCTTCCAACTTAGCAACAGGGCAACCACACTTAGCACGAAAAAGCAAAATAGCCCTCCCATTAGGCGGACCCATCTTCCTCAATTCAGCTCTCAAACACTCATAATCAGGATTGGATTCAGTCCCGCCTTTCCAAGGCAACTTATCAACGTCATTACCAGCACTGGATTTAACACAATCCTCAGTCTGCAATTGCAAATCAAACTCAATCGCTTTCTTCAAGCCTTTACAGCCAGGTTTATCACACTTTCGAGATCTGGGTCCGCAGCAGAACTCAATAAAAAGGATGGAGAGAATAAAAAGAGCGAAGAAGCCACAGATGTAAGGGAAAGGGGGAAGTGAAGGGAAAGGGAGGTGTTAGAGAGGAGGAGAGAGAGGGAGTTGAAGATGTAAGAGAAGTAAGAAGTCAAGAGGAAAGTGCCGGAGAAAAGGACTAAAATTAGGATGAGAAGGTCAAGAGTCGCTGATGGAGAGTGTCTGCAGAGAAGGGATGTTGAGTTTGGATTGGAGTTGGTGTTTGCAGTGTTTGAAGAAGAGGAAGAAGAAGAAGATTTGAAGGGTTTTGGTGTGAAGGAAGAAGAAGGGGGCATGGTGAAGAGGAGATGGTGCATGTTAACAAGGGATCGGAAATGGGGATTTTGAGAACAGCGCTTCCTTTGTCTCGGGTTGGTTAGACTATATGCTCTTTTTTTAAAAAAACAAAACCAAATCTAAGTTTAACTCCTAACTCATTACCTGATTATCAATTGAGTTCTAATTCTTTTAATTTTACCTGAAAGGTAACGGACATTCAATGTCACCCCCTCAATCCACTCTCTTGGTAAAGTTAATATTCTATTTAATTTGCATTTATTTATAAATCTCAACATATCCCATAAAATAATCAGCATCAAATCATAATAATAAATTATTCTTATTTCATATCTTGAGTTTCGTTTTACCGTTTTGGATGGAAGCATTTAACAATCACACACAGATTAAATAGAAACCTCAAAATCAAGATTAGATGTCCTTCAATTCTTGATGTGATATCAATTTTGTTTTTAAACTATTTCAATTTTTTTAATTAGCTTGTTTTGTAGGATCACTTAACAAAAAATATTGATTTTTTTTTATGTAATGACGTTGTTTCTTAAAAAAAAATAGAATTTATATAAAAATATGGATTAAAAAAATTCAAAAAATGAACGGAAGTTATTAATTAAAAATTTCAGAAAATGTGAGGATAAAATTGATATAAAAAATACTTTATGGACAAATTTGAGTCTACTTCATTTGCGAGGTTTGCCTTTTTTTAGCTTTTGCTTTAGTATAAGAAATATGGTAACTAAGTGCACACGCGCGCACCGCCAAGCCATTGTGCAGTCGCACAATGTGATTCTTATTTAAGAATTACTGAAGCAGGCGAATATCTACACAACTGCTAGAGATGAGATGTTGCCCGAAATTGAAAGGCAACCAGCCAACCAAAAATAAGGAAATTGGACGTCCTAATCAAACCAAAATAATCATTTTATTATAATCCATTTTCCTGTCCTTTTGTGTTTTTAATCACATTCAAGTTTATGATTTTGTATTATTATCTAACCATATAAAATTTAGAAAATCTCAACTCAAGAGTTTTAAAAATAATATAAAATTTAGAAAATCTCAACTCAAGAGTTTTAAAAATAATAATAACAAAGATGAGATGATGCATACTAACAAGCAAAAACAATACCATTATTGCTTTCTAAATTGTTTGTTACAAAATTATATTGTTGATGTAAGATATTATACATACTAGCATTGACTTTTAATATTTAAAAAATTATTAAATAGTTCAAGTTTATTTGATTATTCATTTATATAAAAACGAGACCAATTATCATAATTATTCATAAATTCTAATTTTATATGAGTAGAAAAATAATAGATAAAAAATATATGATAATCTCGTGTAATTTTTTTTTCTTTATATAAGTTTAAAGAGATGTACTAATGCATATAAGCTGTAAAAAAGGCAAAAAATTATAGTCACATCATATGTAACCATTGTTCACTATTCTTAATATATATATATATATATATATTTTTTCCTCGCGCATGAGTTTTGCTTCCCGAATGATGAGAGGAATAATAGGTTGGTGAAGGCATATGTTGGCTTTTGGGCAGTGGGAAGCACGTTAGCAGAGTGACAGTCGGACAATTAAGGAAATTGGCTTTTCTTTTTTTAAAAAAAGAAATGACATTTCTTTTTCTTTTTCTTTAACTTTTCTTACTATCAGGAGAAAAAGAATCATTCGTTTCTTCAATAGCGTACTTGCTGACGATTGACGAAAACGGATCAAATAGCTTCACTTCTTGGAATTTTTTTTTTTTTCTTTTTTACGCTTGAGGTTAAGAAACTTTTGTCTGTTAGAAGTCCTTACTATAATTTTTTTTTCTGTTTTAATTTTAAGTTTTTTTATTAGTTTTTAAAATTTAAAAATTTGTTTGATTGACTATTTTTTTTATTTTTTTACAAAATGTATATAGTTTCAATATGAGTTATTAGCACTAACTCGTTTAACTCTTCAAATTCGAAATTCGAGTCTTCTAGACTTGATTTCAATCCTATACTCGATCCCGATCCTAACCTATGGTGCCTAGGACACTGTTTGCCGTCCAACTTTCATGCACTCCAAACATAGTCTTGGTCCGAATCTTGGTGCCTCAAACCCAATTCCGTCCCAATGTTTCACCCTTAGCACCTATTTCAATTCGTACCACGACACCAATCCCTTCCTAACCTTAAGTGTCCTAGATTGTAACACTCGGACTTTGAGCATTACTATGTATTTGTGTGTTTATTTGTTAAGTATGTGTATATTATATTGTGCATTTACATTGATGAATGTTTGACCTTGCAAGTTTATGTTGTTAAATGTTGTGAGTGTGTGAGTGGCTAAGGAATTCGAGTGTGACACTTAAAAGTTCAAGAGCTTAAGTGAGTTAGGTGGCAAAGTAGAATGACTAGTTTGTTAAGTAATCCAAACTTAAGGGACTTACAAATATAGCTTGATTAAGTATCTCATACATATGTTAACCTAAAAATAAAGCTTAATTAGTATCTTATACAAGTGTTAATCTAGAGAAATATCTTGATTAGATGTCACATACAAGTGCCCATCTAAAGAAAATATCTCATATATGTAGCAACCTTAGCTTCCATATATTCTTTTAGATTCAATCAACAGGGAAGAAAAATGAGGAGAGTGCTAGGTTATTTGTAGTGTTTTAACCTTGAGAAACCTAAGAACAACGAGAGAGAAAACTAAAATTACCAAGGGAAACAAATGTTAGCCTAAAAAAGGAGAGAGTTTTGTCTAGAGGAAGAAAATTTAAGCAACTTGACCGAGAGTAAAACTAAGAAGAAAGTTGAAATTTTGAGAGGTTTTAGGGTGTTTTCAACAATAGCTAAACCCTAAGATAAATGTAATCCCAACCGACTATAAGACATAGAGGTTATATGACTTTGTGTTGATATCTTTGTGTTCATAAGTTTACTTGATGATTGATCACATGTGAAGATCTCGTTTACTTAGCATTGTGTTCATGTGTTCACTTGATTATTGGTAAGTGTAATCTCAACTACCCACAAGACATAGATGCCATAGGATTGATGTGTTTTAGTGTTTACTTGATATTTGAATACTTGTGAAGATGTCTTTGCTTGATGGTTGCATTTTAAGTGATGATATGTTTACTTGATGATTAGTAAGTGTAATCTTATTTAAACTCACCATAAGATATAGGAGTTGTAGAGTTGTTGTGTTTATATGTTAAATTGATGATTGAGTACTTGTGATGATATGTTTATTTGATGTTTGCATTTTAAGTGAAGATGTGTTACTTAATGATTAATTAGTGTAATTATGACTCACTAAAAGGTATAGATACTCTAGGGTTGTTGTGTTCAATGGTTACTTGATAATTGAATACTTATGAAGTTACTTGATTGTTTCGGGTTAAATGACTACTTGATGTTACTCGATTAAGTGTTTATGTGTTTATTTGATGATTAAGCATATATTATGTTACTTGATGGTTTTAGGTTTACTCGTTTACTTGATTTTACTTGGTTTTGCATTTATATATTTATTTGATGATTAAACACTTGTGAGGTTATTTGATGGTTATGGTGTTTGTGTGTTTACTTGAGGTTGCACTTTAATTGTATCCATGCCATAAAAATATTTTTATCACGATTTCAAGCATTCAAGAAAAGAACATTTATATGTTTTTTTTTTAAAAAAAGGGCTTGCAAAGAAAATGATCTAATGTACCTCTTTACAAAGGTAACGGCTAGACATATTCAAAAAGGGCATACAAAAAGAATGATATGGTGTATACTCTTTATATTTTCAAAGAGAGCATACTAAGAGAATGATATAGTGTATACTATTGGTATGTTCAAAGAGGGCTCACAAAATAAATGATATGGTGTATACTCTTTGTAAGAAAAGGATGAAATATGTCTAGTGCTTTTATGATTTTCATAAATGACAAATTTAAATGAGGGTTAAATCAAACATTCAACAGGGTGCGTTTGAAAGAGAAAAATTTTTTTGACATGAAAGACATTTTTGCCTTGCATTCATGTATGATTACACTTATTAGGCTATGACTCATTATTTATCTTGTCGTATAGGTGAGCAAAATGATATGTCAAGGCATGTTGTGACATTAAGGATCCTGCCATAAGTGAGCTAAGTTTACCAAAGCATATATCGAAGGATCATGCATCCTATAGAGGTGTAGAATAAAATAAATTTTTTTCCTCCATCTAAGGCTCCCATGATCAAGTTGTTAAATCAACTAATCATACATACATGAATTAAAAGTATGAGTAAAGGATTACCTCTTATAGCGTAAATTTTGCCTTTGCAAAAAAAGAGTCATCTAAGTGTCCGGCTTCTATCAATGATCCATATAGCTTAAACACCCAAAAAGAAAGCCACATAAATCATAGAGTGCTAGCTCCAATCCTTCGTATAGTTAACTTTTTTTTAGAAATCAAATCGGGGTTTTGCGATAACTTAGGCTTTTTAAGAAGGGATGTGACAACTTCGACTTTTGGGAGAGAAAACACTTTCTCTCTTTTTCTCTCTTTTTCCATGTATATCACTTTAATTATGCCTCTTTGTCTGTTTCCCTCTTATTTATATAGGGAGGCATCCTTGTCCTCTTAGAACAATGAGTTATAATATGAGTGGGTTTTTTTAATCTTATCTTTGTAAAACGTGAGCCTTATCTAATAGCACTCAAGTTTATCCTCCTATCAAAATATCTTATAGGTTTTTAAATTAAGCCTATTGGCCCAAACTCTTTTGGCTCAATTAATTATCAATTAATTTAGACTATTCAAATAAATTAGGTTAGATTCTTTTAAGAAACCCATATTAAAAAATAATTTTTAAAATTACTCTTAAAACTAAATTAGGAAAGTAATTTTTTTTTGGTAGCTATCGCCAAATTTGGAACTCGACTTCCAAATTAGAAAACTGATTTCTAGAATAGAAAACTTTTTCCAAAACAAGAAACTTTTCATTTTTAGAAACCTTTTCAA